ATTATTTTACACCAAATTTTTGCCAAAACCTGGTTAACACTATGCCCCAAAGAATTTCAGCCGTAATAAAAAATAAAGGTGATGTTACCCAATAGTAATCTTTCAATTGTTGCTTTGTTAACTTCGCGCATTTATTCGCACATTGTTTATTTGTTCAGCTGTTCTATTAGTTATAGGTCTAAGTGATTTCAAATATGTATTTTTTACGACTAGAGTGTATCTAAAATGTTTTTGAGATAATAAATTGTTTTAGAAGTAAATAGTTTCGTCATGTTCAGTTTATAAAGGCATATTTTGGTACAAATCTTGAAGTGGGCCAACTGAAGTGGGAAGGGGCTCGTTAGCTAGAATAATAGGACTTAGTGCATGGTATGCAGAATGCAGATACGTATTATTTGTTGTTAGGTATGATCGTTTATTGCAATTATTCAGGAAAATAGTGAAAATAAAATAAGTGTGTAGTGTCAAATCATTCGTAAGAAAATAGTCTCTTCGAAAAGCCGACGAGCTGTGAAAAAATCAAGTAAACTGAAAAAAAAATAGTGTTTGAAACTCTTAGAAAATCTTTAGAAGCACTATAAGTTCGTTGGCCTCAAAATCGTATTTTTCCCGTGTTACTTGATCAACAATCAAGCGATTTACATTATCCATGGAATTCTAGATCAAAAAATAAAAATTGAAGTGAAAATGACTTCATTTGTCAAATAATGATAAGTGAGACGTTGTTGAGTTCAGAGTGTCATTCTCGATCGAAATAAGCAAAAATATACAGGGTGTCCCATTTAAAAATCGAAAGTTGGAGTCGTTTCTGCTCTAACCGATTGTACGTTAAAGCAAGTGAATATGTAAAAAAATGTAAATTCATCTATAATACGCAACCCCCAAATTTCGTTTTTCTACCCTCAATAATAAAACAGTCATAGGGGCGAGCCACCTTGGAGAATCACCCGGTATATGAATCAAGCATACTTATGGGCAACCCGGTGTATTGAAACTATTGCCGGTCCCATCGCTCCCCTGTCTCTGTGTATAAAAAAGAATAAATCGCTGTAACCGAAAAATGTACTTTGGAGTTATTTTTAGTCCTCTCGAAGTAGGTTGAATCTGAGCTTTTAACTGTTGGCGATAAGAGCAGCGGTTGATGGATCGAGTGAGACAAATGATGAGCGTATGTCCAGGAAAATGTTTTTTAATTGTTGTGTGATGATTGAAGGACGCCGAAGTGATTCAGACGAAAAATGTGCTCCACCGAGTCTGAGTATCTGGTACCTTACAAAAAACTGATTCCGTTAAGAACTGTATATTTTGAGAATATTTTCTAGCTATGGGTGTCATCGCAGTATGTATTAGATAGTGTTCATCTAATGAAGAGGCACCAGTCAGTAGGACTCGTTGAGGGGGTACCTTGATGTCACATGCATATGTCTTCCATATTAAACCAGGATATCTACAATTTCAGAGAAAAACTGTATAGATGGGGTTTACAACAGCACCGTATTTTTGAGGGGAAGAGAAAAGAGTATTCGTCCAGGAGATACAGAATAGAAGAAATAACTTTTCCCCATATTGGAAAAGTAAAACCTCTTCAGAAAAACGATGTAAACACTTGAACATATGAGGTAATATTTTGAAGGTGTTTTCATCATCTCGAACTCTCCTGTAGGCCATCTAGAACCTAGAGCAATACTTCAATAGTTTTTTTAAATTTACGAGGAAAATGCATTATTCCAACGCTGCACTTAATAAAAAAGTTACCCAGCCATATTTTTTATATCTCTAGTCGACAGATCTTTTCATTTACTCTTCAAAATGTTGTTTCTTCCGGTTTGTCTGGCCGCTGAACGAAACCACATATGTTTGACGTTTAGGCCACAATGGCCTTTTTCAAGTATATTTGATAATATTGACAATACGTTTTGTTTATCAGTCTTCCAGGTGATACTTCTATTGCTTTTTATTTTAGTTTCACATTCCTATGCAGTATTTTAAGATGACACCGTGCAAAACCAGCAAAGCCCAAGAATGTCAAAAGGAGGCCCTGCCCACCAAACCGACAAGAGGGCATGATATTATTTGTCGGTTTTTAATGTACTAGTCACACTCATCCATCGTCCCAGAAGCGCCAAAAGTCCTAAAAAATGCAAAAACCCTCCCAAAAATGTGCATCGTTAATGGATTTCTTGTGAGGAAATAATCTAAGACACAACAGTTTGGCTTTGAGATGGCGAATTGAAGCATCTGCGCACTTGCCAACCATTTAAGAACCGATAACAGACAAAAAGAGAAAACCTGGAAGTAAAAAGCTTATGGTCCATTAGTTAGGTGTTTCATTAAAACAGTGTCGTTCTAAAATTCATCCATTCAATGGAGTTGTGATCACGAAATATGTCGAAAATAAGATATTGTGCTTTTTGGATGTTGATGGTATGTACATCACGAAAAACAATGTCAATCATTTCCGTCTGTCTATCCGCTAATCCGTGGCCTGTCTATAACTTGAGAGGTACACAAGGTTACTAGTATGTTAAGGACGAAAGATTTTTGAAAATCAGTCTAGTAGTGGCAGAGGAAAATACCAAAAACGATATAATTAAAAATTTCGTTCCAGAGGGTCCTGATGACAAATTAGGGGTAAAGGGGCTAGTATATTAATACGCTTCCTCCCCGGTAATTCTATGCCCCTATTAGACATAAGCCACATATCATAAATTTTGCCGTACATTTGCTCTGAAAACAAAAATACCTTCATCAGACGCACATGCCTGGGTCACGGTGTCATTCATAAATATTGCATTTTTGGTACTCGATCTGAGAAACCAATAAAAACAGATATAATACGGCGACATACGAGGTCGGCGCGATGCTATCTATATAGAGGGTGTTTCAAATTCGACCCACCCCAAACACAGTCAGGAAATAATAACAGTGATTTTGGGATAAATCTAGTAAGCGAATCAAATGACTATCTCATAATTTCACGGGTTGCCTAGGAAATTATACTTTTTTTGAAATAACTTGGGTTTGGTAACGTGAATGTATGACGTATTATACATTTTTGGAAACAGAATTAACACTCAAGAGACGAAACGTTATATTGAAACTCTAATTATTCCTTTTTATAGAGGTGAAAGAGTGGCAGTGTTAATGTGCAGTTTATTTTGAAATCATACAACGAATGAAGTCAGGTTTTTTCTGACTTTCTCCGGAAGGAAAGTACTTCGAATTTCGGAAGTATCTAAGCGGCATTTTGTTGATAGTTTTCGCAATTTACAATTTCCGAAATCCTAATGGTGAGAGTCGTATTTGAAACACCCAGTATATACGTTGAATTTTCAGTGCGTGCTCAGTCAATAACCCCATTATTATGCTTGGTATCTAAAAAAACTAAATACAAAAATTGTAGTCAACAGAATGCTTATTACTTGGAAGACATGTTAAATTCTACAGCGTGATACATAACTACGTGGTGACCTAAACATACATTTTTTTTTAGATTTAAAGACCTACATTTTATTGCATATTTGGATAGGCACTTTCAAACGAAGTAATTTTATGTAACATACGGTTCTATTTCTAAATTGTTGAGATATTGGACAATCTAACAAACAAAAAAACAACTTTGACAACTCGCACCTTCGCAACTGTTACAGCTTGACTACTGAATATTTCCGATTCCCCTTTTCCAAGATTTTTTCGATTTAAGGTGTATGGAAATTTGTACTAATGGTTTTTGAATTACAGTTAACCTTTTAGTGAATCGGATATCAGAGGTGAATGAAAAATATTACAACACTTTTCATAATAAAAGTGACATTCAGTTAGTAACAGTAGATGGTTAATATTTTGTGTATTTTCATTATAAATTAAATCTGCCTAACCTTACGCAATAACGTCGAAAAGTGTTATTGGTAGCTCAAAAACCAGTTGTACAAACGCACATGACCATAAAAGTGTGAAAGTATACAGAAGATTTTGACAAATCGTTCACCTTGCCTTCTTGACCACCTTGTATAAACTAACGATAAAAATTGTAAAAATAGTTAGATAGGGAGACAAAACGGGATCATACATTTTTCTGAAAAAAAAATCAGTTTTCTAGCTATAACAGGTGCGGAGGTGCGAGTTGTCATACTTGACTATTTCTCTCGATAAATTGCTCAATATCTCAATTTGAAAATATAACCCTACAGCATATCAAATTGATCCGTTTGGAAGTACCTATCCGAATCTGTATTTAAATGTCGGTCTTCCCATTAAAAAAAGCTTGTTTTGGTAACCACGTAATTGAGAATCACCCTATAGAAATAAAAATATTTTTCAATTCAGGAGCTTATTGTTGTTAACACTTTTTTGCATTTAACTTTCTTAGATACCATGCGTAATAAAGGAGTTATCCACCGAACCCACACTAAAAACTCATCCTGTATATATGAGCGTTATGTTTGGAGTGTAATTCAATGTGGTTGTTGTTGACAATTAGTTTTACACCAGGGCTCCAAAGAAATGAGGCTTCCGCGTACGGACACGCTCATTGTTGGACATTTTTCCCATGAAAAGCTTAAATCCATTTCTTTGCATAGTTAGCATAATCTTGTGCCTCATTTGGCACTAGAGCCAACATAGCGACACAACAATACCTTATGGAATACATCAACCAGCATAGGTTCGCAGCCAGGATGTATTGGATTAACGAATCCATGGATATATTCTAAACTATTTCAGAGAGTTTAACCCATCCAAAGTAGTGTTAAATCAAATAGGTAAATGAAGAAAAAAATTGCCAAGTCCTACAGCGGCTGTAGGGATACGTCTAAAAATTCTCGACTTGCTACGTCATAACATCTATGAGATTCGAGGATGAAACCTAACATTTACCCATGATGCCTCCATATTTATCATTGTGCTCTTAAGACATTAGAAAATAGAGATCCAAAAAATGAATCGTGGTAGGTTTTGATACTCTTTCTGTTTTATTCAGAGTATTTTTAACAGCGACTTACAATGATATCACATCCCTCCTCAAGCTTCTTTAAAATTGGTTTAGCAGCAGCTGAGATTAGGAGCGAAAAGCTATGGCAGTTAGACCGACAAACAGACCGCCGGAAATCGTAAGATCACTGGAAATTTTTTGAGTAGTAAACACAAAACGTGCCACGGATTTCAATATTGACTCACTTATGTATCACTTGGTTTAATACTTCAAGAATGCCAAGCAAAAATAATCCTGTTAGCAATACAGATGTAGGTGTAAACCAATTATTCACTGTCCTAAAAAACCTCATCCCTCAGAACGATGACACAATTCTCAAATCGAACATGTAACGAGATGTAATGCTTGCATCTTAAAAATATGGTCATTTATAATTTTTTTATAAATAGCCTCGTTGCTAATAGTAGCACAGAAAAACAATAAAATCATTTCTGTCCCCCACGTATTGTGGAAACATGCCCAGAGTGGATCCCGAAATAGACGCGTATGCGAGATGTTTCGCTCTCGACTACAATCCGTAAGCATAAACAGTTCAACACGCTCTGAGGATTTTCTTTAGCGGACTATGCGATATAACGTACTTTTATACAGGGTGTTTGAAACTTGACACTCACCATTGGGATCACGAAAACCGTAAGAGGTACGAAGCCGCTTAAATAGGGGCAAAGTTGCGTATTTAGGTAATCATCAAAATGTTGCTTAGAAAATTTCGAAATTCAAAGTGCTTCGGGAGAGAGGTGGATAAGACCGAATTTTCCCCAAATAGTTTTAATTTTTTCCTGACTTTATTTGTAGTGGGACTTCAAAATAAATTGCACATTAACATTGCCACTCTTTCTCCTCTACAAGATGGCATAATTAGAATTTCAATATGACGTTTCATCTCTTGCCCTCCAGCATCAACATAACCTTTTCTTATACGCAACATATAGGATTTTTGCGCAGATGAATAGAGTTTTTGATTCTGATTTAAAACACATGTCATACATTGTCATTGCCAGACCCTAGTCATTCCAGAAAAACAGAAGTTCCTTGGTAGGCCTTGAAGTTATCAGACTTCATTTGTTTTGTATACCAGACCCAAATTCAACATAGCAACAGAGTTTGAAAGACTGAGAAGAAAAATAAATCGAACAGTGAACAATGTACAGAGAATAGTCAGGCTTTGCCTACAAAATATTTATTATTCTTATTGTTATTACCATCAATGAAATTTCCATTTTGTGTTCAGGTTTCACCATACCTTTTCAATTATTTGTGATTTTCATCTAACAACAAATTCATGGCCAACTAAGGAAATACATTACTCAAGTTAAGACTGAAAAGTTGATTTAAATGTACAAAATTCCAGTAGAGCGTCCTTATCAAAAAACTCCAAAAAAGTCAGAAAAAATTAAGGTGATTTTGGGATAAACTTGGTATGAGAAGCAAATGACAATCTGGTAATTTTAAGGCCTAAATATGAAATTCTGCCATTGTGAAACAACTACGGTTTTGCAACGTCGATGTATGGCGTATTATACATTTTTTGAATCAGAATTAAGAGCCATACATATTCACCAATATGACGTTCATAAGAAAAAATAAAGTTAATGCTGGAGGACAAGATAGGAAACGCCATAGGGACGTCTTTTAAGTTTTGCATATGGAAATAAAACAACACGGTAAGTAGTTTTGAATGACTTTATTGTTTTTCGAAGTATCCTCCACGAAGATTAATACATATCTGCATGCACTCGAACCAATTTTCGAAGCACTTATTCCACTCGTTTGCTGGCAGATCCAAAACGGCATTTTTGAATGTGTTAACTGCTTCTTCTGGTGACTGGAACCTTTGACCACGCAGTCTGTTTTAAATTTTCGGGAAAGTGAAGAAATCGTTAGGACTTAGTTCGGGACTATATGGAGGATGGTCCAATAATTCCATCTTTTCTTCCGTTAAATACTGCTTTGTTCTTTGGGCTGTGTGTGAGCTTGCATTGTATTGGCGGAGGATGATTCTTCTCTCGGGGTTGGTTTTTCGAAGCTCGGTGATGGCTTTTGGCAAACAAATGGTGGTATACCAATCCGCAGTAACAGTTATTTGCTCATTAAGAGGAATTGTTGCAATATGACACGCTTTTGAAACAAATGTCGCGACCATCTTTTTCGAAACACTTCGAGAACGGATGACTTTTGTTGGCTTTTCTTCACCTTCTAACACCCAAACAGCCGACTGTCGTTTATTTTCTGGTTCATAACAGTAAATCCACGATTCATCACCACTAGCAATGCTGTACACATTTTTTGAGTTTCCGGAATTGAAACGGTCAAGCGTTTTTTGACACCAATTAACCCTGGCTGCTTTCTGCTCTTCAGTAAGCAGAGAAACTAATTTTCTTACTCCTAATTCTTCATGTAAAATTTTTTGAATTGAGGTCTTTGAGATCTTCAAGGACGCTTCAATCTCACGATATATCACATGTCTATCTTCAAGGATGAGCTTGCGTTTTCCTGGATGACTGCCGTTTTTGGTGCATCCTCCCTGGAATCGTCGCTATGACTCACCTGTCCACGTTTGAATTCTCGATACCAACGGGAAATTGTCGATTGATGTGGCGCTTTGTTGCCGAAAACAGCAAGGCATTCTTGTTGCGATCATTGTCTCTGAAAGTAGTACTAAATTATGGCGCGAAAACGTTCTCGATTGAGTTCCATTTTTCTAATGACTTGGTGACACTTAAAAATTCGCTGTAGTGAGAACACCGCACGTATTGTTGTGAAACTTTGAATTTAAGTTTACTAAAGAGTGAGGTTAAGATTCAGTACTGTCGTTCGATCCGCGCGGCCTACTATGTTTCTATATGCAAAACTTAAAGGACATCCCTCGTATTGAAACTCTAATTATCTTTTCTTGTAGAGGAGAAAAATTGGCAATGGTAATGTGCAACTTATTTTAAAATTCCACTACTATGCTTGCCACTGTATCTGTGACAACCCACTTCACACGGGCGTACCATTTTGAGTTTACCTTTTACAGCAGTACCTGAAAATATAACTAACATACCATATCGATACTGTTTGCAAGAGCAGCTGCGCTCAGGATAGGTTTGCCCATTGTGCAATTTTCCTATGAAGCTTCAGCTCCCCACATGGTTTAGTTAGTAGTTGCTTACTTATGGTATTGATGATGTAACCGCCAAAGTTCGTGAAAAGAAGGCCTTGCGGTTTTTGAGGGTCACAGTGTCACAGTAAAACTACAGAAATTACTTTCATACATCTATATTTATTTGTATAAACTCAATGACATAGATTTTCCAGTTTTGTCTCGCCACCAAAAAAACTTTCTTGTCAACTTTTGAGTCTTCCACATTTATGCTTGTTAATTTATGATATAAAACATAGCAGTGCATTAAGATACAACTGCAATGTTGACAGTCTGTATTGAAGGCATTTTCAGAAAGTGAGGGCAGTCGATCTGTTTTCGATAGAACCGGTTGAAATTTTCCAGTGAATTATGAAATTTTTCAGTAGATGTAGCACCAAAAAGCAAAAAAGTTCACTTTCGTAAATCACTTTTTATTCAAAGTATAATAAATTGAAATAAACAGTAAACGAGAACAATAAAGAGTCTCAATCTTACTTCTCAGCTAACTAGGAATGATGAACTGTCAATTAAAAGCAATCTAGTCTAACACATGAGTGCATCTAGACTATAAAATTCGTAATACATGATTTGATTTAGTCAGTCATCTGTTTGCTTACAATATATTGTCCTTTTCAACTGCCATGTTTTAAATCAAGTGTTCGTTAACTATAAAATTGTGACACCCTTTACCGATATGCCTTTTTGAATAAAGCAGATGAGATCATCATTTAATCTGTTCCTAACTCTGGTTTTCACGTGGTTAACTTGTGAAAGTGTACTTTCAACGGTAGTGCTTGATCTCAGATGCGTATAATTAGTCAGGCATTTTTTGAAGTTATCTGTTAAACAGTAGTAGTATTTTTCTGGTTCGTTATTTCACAGCAGAATAAATAAGACAAATCATTTTTGAAGTAGAGCTAAAATCGGTAGATCGAAAAATCGGTACGCTTGGTAACACTGGTGAAAACAACGTTGCCAAATTTATAAATGTGTGCAAGAAGTTGTTTTCGTAATTTTCCTTAGGGCGGTTAACCTACGTACATAGTAGCACTAGTCTGTTTACTTATTTCGGACGGCATTGTGATGCAACCGCCAAAAAACGTGTATTTGGTACAAATCGCTTCTGACAGTACAGCGTGAGTCAAAACTAGAGTTAAGAAGATTGGCTTTGTAATTTCATTGACGAACGCATTCCAACTGAAGATTCCCAATTAAAATAGGCATTAGAAAGGCACCAAGAAGGGATTGAAGATCCAGCATTTATGAGACAGTAGCGGAACCAAACTCTCCACCTCGTCTTCAGGGCTTAAGCTGTGTCTAGGGGTCCCTACAATTTCGTTTGATTTTTGGGTATTTGAGGGCTCCTTATCAAGCCAGGGCCGTAAAGACGGAATAGCCTTTTTGAAAACAGATTTCTAAATTCAGATGACTGAGATCCCTTTTGGGCTCCGGAGGTTGGATCAAATTGACTTTGATAGGACATACAGGGTGACCCAAGAACGGAATCAACTAGATTGACTCAGTATTACCCATGCTTCAATATTTTGAATACGTTATTCGCTGAAGGCGGCCCAAAGCGCTATATATTCTCAGATTCGACCTCTGAGAAACAGTGTATAGCCACTATCAGTTGCAACTGTGAAAATCTCAGTCTGCAATGGTGCGAAGTCACCGGTGTGTCTAGCTGCTTTGTAGGTATGGTCTACTTGTCTGCCCGACCAAAGACAGCCAACCATGGACAGCAGTTTCGTGCTTGGTCTAGGCTTGGTCAATCGTCTCTGGACAACGAACGAAATCATGGCAACTATCTTCTATCAGGAGGTACGGTCTATCGAAATAGGACTGCACATTGCGCCTAGATTGTAAAGGGAAATCTATGATGTATGAAGTACTTCTGAAAGCACCAAAGAATTGACACATACTCTCATCCACCGTCTACATCATCATCCAATTTTTAACTCCTCCAATTTTTATTCTGACAATGATCAGCATCCTCTGAAATTTTTATTTTTTTTATTTTTGGCATTTATCTTCGTCGCCATTGGACGGATTTCCAAAAGCTTTGTAGCTTTTTGGTCCTGGCCGCAGTAGTGACCTTGTGTATAAATTTCATCAAAATTCAAACGGTATTTCCCGTTATAGATGAGCCAAGGATTAGCGGAAAGACAGACATATTGATAGACAGGCAAATACGAGTGATATGGTTTTTCGTGTTGTACATGTGAAATAACATCCAAAAAACATAATGTCTCACTTTAGAAATGTTTCTCTCTTACAATACTTCCTCGCTAGTGGCATAAGAAGTGAAATAAGCGACTGTAAGAGCTCTCGAAGCTAGCATCCGTCACTTAATTGCAAATAAGTGTTCCTAAGTACATCAGAAAGTTGTCGAAAACTGATCCAGATTTTGACTTTCTGGCGTATAGTATTTACGTACCTACCTTTATAGTGCATTTATAAAATCTCCCCAGTTATGACCCATATCCACTATTATTTTTGAAGATCTATTGTTGTTCAAATCAGGAGTACCCAACACCAATGACAAAAGATTATATTTTTCTTATTTACAAGGTCATGACATCCGTTGCGTAGAATTCACATCAATATTGGAATCTGTCGTATTGAGTATTGTTACAATTGTTTTTAGCTTCACTTTTTCATCCTCAGCAGATTATTTAAAAATTTTTCGGCCAGTTTGTGAATATGACCTGAAAATGATCTAGACCTGATTCATTTTAATGCAAATCGGCTGATAATTTTAGAAGCTTTTGTTAACACGCTTGACAGCAAAATTCATGATTTGGCTGTAACTTATATTTATATTTACACAACATTTTAGGTACTATTTCAAGTTTAATTTTATTAATACTCACGGGTGTTGAGTATGTCATACTTTAAATCAAGCCATAAATAAATATAAACATACATTTATTAGCGCTATAGTTAGAACAAATCCAGACTCATGCCAAGTGCATACAAATCTGCTACGTCACTAAGAAAATAGTGTAAATATCTACTTCAATAAGTGATAATTAAAAAATTGATCTTTTTCACAATAACTGATAAAATCAGTGTGCTTTTACTTGGGTAATATTTTTGTTTTTACAGCGCTTAGCGACTTGAAAATACTTTATTTTGAAGAACGAAAATGCCGCTCTTCCTACGTATTAGATTCGGAATTGAAATACAATTTACACTTTTTTCTTCAAGTGTATAAGTCTCGGCTAGAGTCTGAAACTTACCCTTATACCAAATCTCCCAAGCAGTTGGTTAGAGAAAGGGAAGTAAGGTGAGAAGTAAAGCAAAGTGATATTGCTCAAAAGCTTTAATAATCAATATAACAGACACAACAAATAAATAATATGCATAATAAATTCAGTAACAAATACAAATGTACACTATTTTTATGAAAATGACCAGAATGAGTTGTGATTTCACGAAAAAAGAGGCAAGTGGCATGTCAACTTTCTGGAGTGCCAGTTTTCAGAAAATTTCGATTGACATTGATTCTACTTGGACAGGATAACAAAATCACGTTTATGTTGACAAACTTTTTCACAGGTCGCTGTTTGAAAATATTCATATAACATTTTTTAAATGAAGTGAGAATCAGATTTGTTAACATTGAGCGTTCTGTTCTGAGTTAGACTCGTACATGTTTTTGAGCTCTAGCTAGAAGACTTATTCCTTATTCCAATCACAGTTGTTTTTTCAAATAATTCTGATATTTACTACGATCAAGTGGTGACAAAAAGGATCAGCTATAGTCACGATATATTGATAAAAGCATATACCATTTACGATTTCTGATGTGACGATGAACCTCATGTAGTTGCTTTAGTTTATTTATATATATATATATCAAATTTCTTTCATCAACTAGAATACTATGATAAAATCGCCCTACATTTTTATTCACATCTTGTTTTCTAGACTGATATTCATTGGTTGGAGTAAATAAGGGTAGGTGAGAAAGAGTTTTCAATATGTAAAGTTATGTATGTCTCAAGCATACCAGAATAAATTGAAATAAGTTAATATATAATATTAGAGAGTCTTCGGTCCAACAAAACAAAATCAGGATGGTTGGAAAAACAAGAGTAATTATGATCACTAAAATGTATGGTAATTTGAGATTTAAACAGGGACACTAAAAACCATCTGTTGGTGGCTTCCAGTTTTGCTTATCTAAAGTAGTAAGTATTATCTACACTCCAGAAAATCAAACAAAACCACTTTTAAAACTTCAGCGAAAACGAGCTATCCTATGAGTATTTCCGTAGTTACGTAAGAAGGCACTTATTTTTACATCCTACCTATCAATTTAGCTTAAAATTCCTAAATAGCTGTTTCGTAAAACATTCGTATCGGATTTAGAAAGAAAAATAACAAACTAAAATGTAAACGTAAACTTTGGCAACGACTAGACGTACACGACTCGTTAAGAAATACTTGGCAGTGTGACCTGCATAGAAGACGATCTGTGCATCGACAAGACTAAAGAGTAGTATTAGCAGTATCAGAGCACCACCACCAAGAGCAGTTCTACTTAAGGTATTGAGATCGACGCTCACCTGGAACTTGCAGAGTTGCTGACGTATTGGCGGTACCTGCTGGGTTAGTTGCGGTGCAAGTGTACGTTCCTGCATCCTCTGCAAAGAAAATTTTTGTTGAAAAAAAGTGTACAAAAAACGGCGCCAAGTAAAAATGTCTACTACGAGCTTGTGTATATATAGGAATTGTAGTTAGTCAGATAGGTGCATATAATTAGTCCCCATCCATCTGACAACATTGCGATCTAGGAGTTTCTCATTTGACCATTCGGCAGTTGCGATGACTGACCCTCGCTAGCGGCAGTGTCCGAGTCGCGATGGATTTTTTCTTCTTGTTGTATGTATTCAAAATGTTATAAATTAGCTCTTACCTGCGATTTCGTTCGATTGACAGTGTTAAAATAACCAAAATATTAAAATTCACACCAAATTAAATCAGATTTTACTTTGTGAAAATACCTGCCTAGTCTCTAGTTTGAAAAAATAAATGTTTAAAATTGTGACACCCTTCTAACCGCTTTTCTCTCAGATCACAGTATTCATCGTTAGTTCAAGTTTAATCTAAAGAATATCAATATTGACATTTTCAGGTATCTAGCAGAAAAATCCCGTTCTTAACTGACATTTACTCTCTACAAACTATTTTCCTACTAAGTTCTAGGTTTTTGGTAGAAAATTGCTAAAAACCTTCAGAAAAAATCAAGAGTGTTTGACTGAATCTCTTTTACGTCGGTTTGCATCTTCAAGACTGAAGGGTGATAGACCTAAAGTGTCCATGAATTTGTATAGAGGAGACGAAAATACTCCAAAAGCATATATTCCAAAGCCAATCAATCTTGAAATGTATTAACTTTTTTGAAGGTCTTTATCAATTTTCTGAAGAAAGATACGTTTTTTTATATCCCATATAGGAAATCCACTACTTGTATTTTTACCCCTTGCACTCTCCTTAAATCGGCTAAAAAGGCTTAAAGTGATAAATAAGAGTGGAAATAGTTAAAATAGAGTTACTACCACGTTATTAAGAACCGATTAGTTTGTCAGTGACGAATGTTTCCAAAAACTTTATCAGGTGATGGTATTTTCACAACTTTAAGGAATGGTTGGGGTATACTAGGAGAGGTTATAGTGGTCCGTGTAGGGTGAAATCGACTTATTTTTTTTCAGTAGATACTGTAAATTAAATTTAGTCCTAGTATTGGCCATTTTACCTCCTCTGCTCGCTCTACCTTCAGGTATGAAATGTATCAATAGCAACATTTATTTACTCCATAAGTACCAATAACATAAAATGTGATAATTAAAAACATATACAGGTTGTTTCAGAACTAAGGGATCAAACTTCTAGGGATTATTCAGTGTAACAGTAGAAAACATTTGAGTATAGGGACACGTATCCGGAAAAGTGTCACTACGGCACTACAGCCCTAAGACTCGTTGAAATTTAGAAAGACGATGGTCAAGCAGATTTTAAACTTGAGCATGAATAGTACAAACGTTTCAATCCAGGTTTTCCTGTAATGTTTTCCTAATTTGCATACCAACCAAGTTACATGTTTGTGTTGTGTTCACTGAATAAAAGGGAAAATGAGCATTCTTGTTGAAAACATTACTTGACGAAGCGCCATTTTATTCCGTTAGGTTTTAGGAGCTTTTGAAAAAATGATCACATACATAAACTTGTAATACCAGCTTCTATTCACAGAACCAACACTAGTTAACACTCTCATTGTGTTTTAACAAATTGGTAACATTTTTGATCCCCCTGAAAAAAAGCTTTTTGTCGCTTGTTCAAGTCATGCATACTCGGTCCAATTGTTGTACAGCGGTAAATTTGAATAGCGTGAGCAAAATTAATTAATAGAACTTTGAATGTTGGTTTTGATTTGATGCTTCTTAGTTTATTGAAATATTAACGAATAATGTTTAAGTGGAAAATAATAAATACATAAAATAAAAGAATAAGGAAACGATTAGATCAAATGATTGTTAGAATTAATAAATAATTGGTAGCATATACACAACATATATCGGTGATCGGGAACAGTCTCTCGAATAGCATAACCTATAATTCCGATAATTTCTATTTACTACTTACTCTTGAATTTGAAGATTTTTCTTTGCTAGGAACTGTTCATCCTTCAAATTAGTTTACTTCTCAAACATAATTGAGAATTTGAATTGATCTCGCCCGTTCCCCGCTGTGCGTCGTGTCACAAATAAAGGCTGCAGAGCTATTTGGAACTTTAGTGAAGTTAAAAATATTATGCTAGAGCTACAACTTAGACAATAGATCCTTTCGTGTGAATAATATGTGGGCTAAAATGTCAATGTCAACATTCACAGTCGCTTACACAATAAGCAATATGGATTTTGAGGACGTTGTTCCAGTTGCAAGCATTCATTGTTAAATGTCTGTTATTTGGAGCAGCAATTTGGCACCTAATTTACCCAAATCATTGACCTTTAGCATTTTTAAGAGAACAAAAGTTGTACCCATTGCCAACGAGGAGCTTTCGTAAACTTTCGATACCGAATCATGGACAATCCATTATCTGCTGTTTCTTTTTGATCAGGAAAATAAGGACAGGTAAGGAACACACGTTTTTAAATCATAGAAGATAATTTATATTTTGATTTTTAGATACAACGAAAAAGGCCATCGTGAAATGCGGGTAGTTAATTGAGCTACCAGAGCTCTTCAGTCAGCATCTATGGCTCTAAATATTAGTCAAAAAAATGTTAGATTGGAAGACACATGAAGAGACGCAACTATAGAGAGACAGCAGTGGATCACAGATCTTGAGGACAAAGTCAATAGTCAGTCCTATACAACGTTTTAACAGTATTTAGGTTCCTTGCAGGCTTTGAAGAAATTGAGATACGCTGGAAGCAGGAGTCAGGGCATGGACAACTGGAAGGTAAAGCGGAATGTGAAATTTCTTTACATTTTCAATAAATGACTTACCAGGATAGGCTTGCGTGACGGTCAAACGACAAACTCCGTTTCTGTAGTGGATTTGGTAGTCATTTGAGTGCTCGATAATCCTTCCGTTCTTGGACCATAAAGTACTTGGTGGTGGTTCAGACTGAACTATGCATTCAAATTTTGCCGCTTGGCCAGCTGTTACTGCGATATCACGAAGTGGCTGAAAGAAAAAGGAGTTGATAGATGACATTAGGCTCTCCAGAAACTGAATTGGAAGGAGCGCTTAGCAGTGAGCAAAACCTCTATGCAGTTAAGAAAAGGCAATTGGTGATTTTGGGATTGTTTTCTGTACTTGCGGCCAACAATAATAATAATAATCAACGTCTTTTTTCTTGTATTAACATTACAGTGGACGAGAATTGAGTAATATATAAAGGCATAAGGGAAACATAAGGTCATTTCTCGCTGCTGATGAAGTAGAGTTTCTTTCAATTTTTTTAGTTTGAATGATGAAAAACTACCATCTGAAGAACTATATGTGATTGCATTGTAAATGTGTGTTTTCGAGTGTAGAACCCTGTAAGTCAGTCTTCGAAGCTTGTATGAGAGGTTTCATATTCATAATACTTGGAACACGATTTAGGGTTTCATTTGAATTGGTATTGGAGAATAGTTTTAGTAACATCATACTTACGGTTATGAACATTGGCGCTCTGGCCTGTCCAGGTTGCAGAATAACCCTTGTACTTCCTGGAGTACTCGGGCAGCTTGGAGGAGATTCAGCTCCTTTCCTACCTGCTCAAAAAGAGAAACATTCAATCTGTGAACATCAGCAAAATACAACCCAAACACGCATTCAAAAAAAATCAGTTTGTTATGTCCACAACAAGTCGACAGCCAGTGCTGAAAGAGATATTACAAAAATATGCTTGCGTGTAGAAAGTTGTTTAGTAAGCAGGGATCCTCATGAAAAGAGGGATGCAAAATTTGACGATGAGTCCAAATGGTTGGATCTAGTATGTTCGTAATTGGGGGTTGAAAGTCATGCAAGTCATTTTTTAGGGTTTGAACGTATGAGCATTGGGTTGTGGCGTTTTGTGGCCGAGACTGCGGATACGCAAGCAGCTTTGTACCCGGGGTGATTTGGGATCCTGAAAATTGCCACCAAAAAAGTCCTATTTGGAATTAAAAATGGAGCTTTTGGAGCCCTCAACTGATCAGAGCAAAAACTGACATCAGTTTTATGACCTAAGTTTCCGATTTACAAGGAAACAAAGTTTGGTTGATATTACAACAGCTTTTGAAACCTTATATGGCCTCTAAAATATGCTAAAGTGAGAAATCCTCATTTGAAGCAAGAAAACGGGGCTTTAGGTTCGGTCCATCTCGGCGAGAAACTGACATTGAATTTTTAATTTGAGCACAGCCAAGAAGCGAATTTTGGTTGAAACTGCAGATTTGTGAGAGTTTGTTTAAATTGTCAGCAGTGGTATTCCTTTAAGTTTCTCCAAAGGGTATTTATACCAAGAGAAGACAGTTAGACCAGGCAAATGAAATAGAGGGGATGGATAGCGAATCTTGACGTCCAAGTATCCGCCGCGAGCTGTTCTTATTTGGCCAGATATAGATGCGGTGTTGTCAGAAAGATCGGATGAATTTTTGTCCATCATTTGTCCTTACAACATTATTTATTGAAATCCACTTTTTTGGCATTTATTCATGTTGGGGATATTTATCATTCCTATATTCAACTTTTTTCCAGCCTCAAATTACTTATTTGGTGAATCATATATGTATTTGACTTGGCTGCTGGTTATACAGACCACAAGACGATATATTTATTTCGTATGACTTTTTGACGTAACCATCCAAAATCGTGAAAAGAACTGCTCAGCTCAGTAAAAATGTAGCGTTTTGTAAACATTTTATGTCAACCTGGCCACACCGCCTCGGTACAAGCATGAGCCAAACGCGCGCATCCTTGGCAAAATGTTTTGCCATAGTCCAAGAGTCGACCCAAAGCTTTGCTTGCATCGCGAGATGATATGATATGTTAAGAACTAGTCAAATCTTACGTACTTTGACTAGTTTTTATCGTATTATATCAGTACGCAATGATGCAACCAATAATTAGCTATAATGCAGAAGAGACCCAAGGTCAATGGAGCTGATTGGTGGATAATAAATACTGTATTTTCTCTTTGGTTTTTCATTGCAAAACTTGAACTTTTGCTTCTCAGTGGTTTAGGGTACGGCCATAAAAATGTGTCAAAATGACTTGCAAGCTTATGCAGAGTACACAGTGGGGCTTTTGAACTGTTTGTTGAGAGTAGGCGGCTAAGTTGTGAGGATGCTGAAGTGGCCATATCAAAATCCTTCAAACGTTCAGGAAACTTCCACAGGTTGCTAGGAAGAGCTTTGATATGGCAACGCCTACACTTTGAAGGAAATTTAAATACTCATGGGACTCCCAGGCAAAAGAACTCATGCGTGTTGAGCACACCAAGTACCTGCGAAAGTATTGTTAAAAGCCGGAGAAGTACTAGGCAAACTAGGCGACAGAGACACAGGACTACACGAAGACGGCTCCCATCTCGAACCTTGGTGTTTCCTGTCCATCTCGTACTCTGACATCTCGCTCTCTGAAGTCGGCTCCCATTTGGTAAACTTCTTCGGTTTGAACTGCGGGGTCGGTGCTTGGCTGGGAGATTTCTCGTGGTAGACTGGCATTTCTATGTCTCTGGTCCGTTTTGGAGGCTCGATTACGGTTTTCTTCGGGAAATTGATCTCGCCTCCTTTTTGTTTACCTTCACCAGGCAGGATTATGCCGAACTCGTAGCCGAAATCGTACTTGAAGTAAATTAGGCCTGTGTCTGGATCGACGTGCTTGGTCCCTATGTATTAAAAAACTATTAAACCATCACCATTCTCCCCAATCTATAAACATATGGTGGCGCAGAAATAACGTTACCCTTTATTTAATATAATATCTGTATGAGAACATTAGAGTTAATTTGTTTCAAAAATAGGCTAACGGAAAAATAGAGATGAGTGATGTAACTCGCTACTGGTTACATTCGGCTTCTTGTGTTGTACTTTTCCACAGCGCCATCCCGAACATTCAGAAATATTTCGAGCGTCATGACTGTGATTTCGTTACGAATATTCTCAGTCAATTGGGCTTCAAAAGAACTCGGGCCTGGTTATATCCAGCAGACGCGGAGGTATCTTAAATTGGCAAGGTTCTTAAAAAGTCCCATGAAGTGCATGCTGTAATATCATATTGGAACCACAGGTTTAGATAGCTTTTCACAACTGAAAATGCTACAGCGTTATTCGACTTAGGCCCGTATCGTCAGTCGTTCATACAATTTATTGTAGGGCGCCTTTATGGCCTCCTTGATTGTCACACTCCTTTCTCTCCTTCAAAAATTTCTAGATTGCACCTGTTCTGTGTCAGCGTCAGCGCTCTCCTAATGTGAAGATATGTTTTCTTTTTAAGTTGTAGAAAATTTCGGGCTGATAAAACATGATATAAATCAAAAACATGCACAATTTGATGCAAATAGATATTTGAGACATAACCTCAAAATAGAGCGCTGACACGGAAAAGTAGAAAGCTATGACAATCAAAGAGGCCATAAAGGCGCCCTACAATTGTAGGAACGACTGACGATACGGGCCTTAGAGAGTCAATAATGGAAATTGGCCACTTCTAAACTCTCACGTGAATGTACTATAGAACTACCCATCCGTAGTATGCATTTTTATCCTGCGCTACGAAAGTTTAATACCATCTTTTGTTCAAATTGTGATCGTGATATCTTATTCTTAGCTAAAGACAATTAAAATCGTTATTTTTGAATATCTGTGTTATCTGACACCTTTATTTTTTGACATCAGTGATTTAAAAGAAATTAGAGCAATTGCACTTGAATTATGTTCAGCAGTTTTTAGCCACATGAAGACGACATTGCAGGAGTGTTTCGACTGAAATGGAAGGCACCTCGACACTATAATTTTTAAAACATGCAAGGTACGGTAGACCAAAGACTCATCAAACTCAAAACCAGTCACCACTTGGTACTCACCATGTTGAGACGCCCTTGTTTCTTCCCTCCAAATTTGCGCATCAGTATCTGCGGGCTTCTTCAAAATAGGCTTCCTCGCTTGTTTGTTCATATCCCCCACGACGTCGCTGACAAACTTCTGCGTCTTCGATTTGAAGTCCTTGGTCATGCTGTCCATGTGATGAGTGGCGGCCTTGATAGCTGTTGACTTGATCATTCTTTGATCCTTCGCATAACCGTACTCAGGAGGTGAGCCAGGCTGAAGCGCTGGTTCGTAGGAACGACTTCTTTGGTGCACTATTTGGTTGGACCTGTACCACAAAAGTGACATGAAACTATGATTGAAACTACTCCATTTCTTGATATCAAGTAATCAACGTCATTTTACCTCTTATCCATAAACTTCTGGTAGCTGGATTCGTGTCTTCTACTTTCTCCATCCATCATGTCTCTGGTGACATGGGTCGAAATCACAGGTGGTTGAGCGTCAAACTCCATTGGGCTAAGAATTCTTTCCTTCGGAGCTGGTACACTGGAGGACCTACTTCCTGTTGGACCTCTCACCCTCCTGTACTGCAGGTGTTCATCTGCACCATGCGGTGTCCATTTGGGCTTGATCCTGGTGCTCTCCACTTCACTTTCGTAATCGCTTTCTCGAAAATCTCCTGGGATGAATCTGCTAGGTGTGGGTGGTGGAGGAACGCTATTTGATCTCATACCTCTATCTGGTTCAGCTTGGAATGGGAAGGGTTCCAGTTTTTGGTCATTTCTGTATTGGTCACCGAATTTGATCACCTTGTGAGTTTGCTGCACACATACCTTACGGTGCCCAGTTTCTGTTGATTCGTCGAAATGAACCACATTTGAGGTCTCTGTCTGCACAGCATTCGTGTAAGGTGCTGTGACTGTTGATCGGTAGTACTGAGTCTTCTTAGGACCTGGAGAATACACGATTTCAGGAGGTGTACCAGGTTTCAGCAAAATCGGTTCCTGAGCTGGTTTGGCTATGATCATGTCCGTTATGGGAGCAGCAGAAATGGGTTTTGGTTTGAAAACGACAGGTTTTTTGGGTTCTGATTTTACTTTGTCGATAGGTTCGAATTTTGGACGTGGAGGACCTTCGATACGAGGTGGGTTATCAAATTCTGTGGGAGGAGTCGGAGTTCTGCCGTACTGTTGGTGATGTTGACTAGGAGTCAGTACGGGACGAACCTGCAAAAAAATATCTCATTTCTTGATTGATACTAAGGTTGACGATGGAGGCTTTACTTATTGCAAAGCAGGTATGAAAGTAGGATAGCGCGGTCTAGTTACGTATACTTACTGGTTTATAAGCAGGTTCAGTGACAGACTTCCACACAGGCGGGATCCTGCCTTCGTAGTCACTTTCGTAGTCGCTCTCCTTGAATTCTCCCTTCACGAACTTGGAAGGGCTTGGAGGCGGTGGACCTTTAGGCTTCCTAATCTGCACTGGAGGCTCTGGCTTGAACGGGAACGGCTCCAAGGTCACGTGTTTATCGTGCTGCTCGTACATTTGCTGCGTTGTTTGACTGGTAACAATTGGAGTAGCTACGAATTCCTGTGGATTAAGTATAATAATGATTATTTATTGTCGCGGCACCTGTGTTATCAAGTAGCTAAAAAACATAGAAACAAAAAACCATGCACATCTCATATGCGAATGGAACTTTCAGAGAAACTTTCGAGAATAAAGCATTCAAGCCATGTGGTATCGACTAAGGAGTAGTCACGGATGAGATTTTTTATACCACTGTGAGAAAATCCCATTCCAATAGACCCGAGGTAGAGAGGCATTTTAAGGAAAGGAGAACCGAGACATCTCAAGGACATGCGTGGTTTTCTAAAAAGATTTTCTATCCCAGTGAAAGGAGATATAAGCGTTACAAGATGATTTTCTATCCTGCCGGGAGGTCATCAGAGCCAATTTAAGGAGATCCAAGGCAGTTCAAGGAAGTCCGAGGCAATCCAGCGCAGTTTGTGGCAATAGCAATCCTTGCTAATCCTTCTGTTTTTTTAGTAGATCTTACGATTTTATCCGATGCAGGTACAAATGGAGGCACACCTGGGGTCTAAGTAAATGCAAGCAGACGTGAAGAAAATTATCGGTTACCAAGGAGCTCCAAGGATTTTCTAAGAGATTTAGGAATTTTCAAGGATATTTAAAAACTCTGAGCAAAGGAAGTACTTTGTTCCAAATAAGAGGCAGTGTTGATAATCTCCCATATTTGTCTGGCTGAATCAAACCATATACAGGGTGTCCGCAAAGTTGGGCTTTTCTTTTTCAGAAGCAACTACCCTTGAAATAACAAAGGTAATGTGTAGTGAAACGAGGGCGACCAAGTAAAAAAAAAATAAAGGAAAAAGTACTCACTCTCCACTTGACGAGAAGGGCTAAGTACGTCTCTGCCCGAAATCATACCGCTCCAACAGAAAATGAAATCAGCTGATGCGCTACCGAGCAGACGCACCATGCCAGCCCAAACATTCACCGAAAATGTTTGTTGAAAATGACCAAACATGAGTGTTGCGAAAGTTATTCACCCCATTACGCGTGAACGTAGATTCGTCTGTCACCAATATGCACTTCAAAAAGTCCGGATTATTGTCATGATGCAACATCCACTCACAAAACCGCACTCTTGCTGGAAAATCGTCAGGTTGAAGGGCTTGTACACGTTGGACGTGAAACGGATACAGCCCCTCTTCACGCAGCGTTTGCCACACTTTAGTTTTTGATACTTGCACTTCTCTAGCCACGTCTCTAGTGCTTGTTGAGGGATTCTCGTCTACGCGATTACCTCTACACGCGTGACCGTAACCGTCGGTTGAAGGTTGCATACTGACCTGACACACTGACCCCGACCCAGTTCTGTCGTCGGGTTGAGCCAGTGACATTGTACCACTCCGTGATGTCGCGGCTACAGGACGGTATTCAGATATTTTTGATGTTGCAGAGCCCTTTATCTCGGTTCCTTCCCTTTTCAAGATCTACACGTCGTGTAAAGGAAAACCCCAACTTTGCGGACACCCTGTATATTCAAAAATTACTCACTATTGTACGACATGTCTGTCCTAACGGTGACCTTCAAGTACAATATTCACTACGGTATACTTTGTTCAAATAAAATATAAATAAAATATATTGTCAAAAAGATGTACAAGTACAATCAAAAATAGAATAAAATGTATATCATATTTTATTTAAAATAAAATATGTTTTCATAAAAGGGTCAATTGTACTTGAAGGTCACCGTTGGGGATTATCGAGAGAAAAACCGCAGGATGAGATAATTACCATTTGTTACATCAAGTGTCAGTGGACATACATCAAAGGGGTATAAAAATAGCTCAAGCAAAAATGTTAATAACGATTAGAAATCAAATAAAACAACCACAGCGTGGTTACGCATAAAACAAAAATGTTATGTTTAAGTCACAGCCACACACGGAGCCAACCTTCTTTGCCGTTGAAACAGTCTGATGCTTCTTAACCGGAAATTTAGGCTGCCTAGAAGACTTGGAGGTGAAGCTTTGTTGTTGTGAGCTATATTCACTCGACTTGAACTGTCTATACTCAGACCTCTCTTCCTTACTACTATATTCAGTTGTATATTCAGTATCAGCCATGTAACCATCTTGGAAGGTCTTTCGCTTGGCCTTAGGCGACTCTGGCTTCCTGGAAACCGGTATATATACTGGCGCTTGCGGCACCTCAACCTTCCTGAAGTCCTGAGCTCTTACGTGCTTGGTGAATTTTTTAGTTTGAGTATCTTGCAGATTGTCTTCAAAACGGACTTGTGGCCTTGGTGGACCTTGGAGCTCAGGGGGATGTTCAAACTGGGACGGAGGTAATGGTTCAGGTTCTGTGGACCTAGAACGTCCGCTTTGTACAGGTTGAGGTGGCCTCACTCTCCTATAACCTGTCGACTCTTCCGTATCACTCATACATGGCTTCCACTTTGGTGTTATTTTCACAGCTTCAATATCACTTTCATAGTCACTGTCAGTGAACTTGCCTTTAATAAACTTCGAGGGTGTTGGTGGAGGTCCTACCTTAGGACCTTTTGGTTTTTCTGTCCCAGGTTTGAAGGGAAACGGTTCAAGCTCAGGGAATTTCTCAAGCGGTACTGACTCTATGATTTTCTTTGGAGGTTCCACATGTTTGACTGGTTTTGCAGGTAAAGGTGGCGCTTGAGGCATCATTTGCTTAGGAGGTAGTGGTGGAGGTGGAGCTACCCAATCTCTTGGAGGAGGTATTGTTCTTACTGAACAGGGTGGTACTTTAGATGGTGCCAAGCTCTTTTCTATTTCTTGTTCCACAGTTTCTACGTAAGATCTACGTCTCTGTTGTCTTGGAGGTTCTGCATAGCCAATCTCTGGAGGCGGACCAGGTTCTAGAATCACCTCGTCTGTGATATCCTGAACTGATACTGGTCTAATAGGTAAAGAGTCAATTGAAGTGTAAGTCCTTTGGGTCTCCGTATAAACAGGAGCTGGTGGCCAAGATTTTATGATCTCTGATGGCTTAGCGAATTTTTCCTCCTTTTCGTAGAATTCACGTTTTGAATATGAGTCACTCTGTATTTTATGTTGCAGGTCAGTAACCTCACCGATGTAATGCTGTGTCGGTACACCAGTTGACGTGCTCCTGATTTCTTTATGAATCGTTTCAGTTTTAGTTTCTGCTGGGGTCCACTTTCTTTCCAAAGTACTTTGAACGGACCAGGACGGTTCATATTTTGGTTCGTCTTGTTGCATGGGTGGCCACGACTTCTCCATATGGGTTTCAGAGAACTTGTGCGCCCATTGCTTTTCCATTTGGACACCTTCAGTTGACGGTTCTATCCCCCCAGACTGAGCTGAAAGTGGCCTGCCTGAGTAGGCAGAAGAAGCTGATGAAGTGGGTCTTTCTAACTGAGGCGTCCACATTTTGTCATAAGATGTTTTTGCGCTACTTTCATACGACTGACTAAGCGATGAAGTTTGAAATGAGGAGGACTGGAATGACTGCTCGGTTTTTTCAACAGTTTCCTTCTTTGGTTCGAATTTTGGCGCTGGAGGGAAGATTCTTATGGCTCCTGTTGGAACTTCATGAGCAGATAGCTCCTTCTGACTCTCTGAAATACGCCTTATCTTCTCGGACATGTCTTCCCGTTTTCTGGACATTCCAGGCTGTTTCGGGGCATAACATATCTCAGCCGGTGGTTCTGGCTTCAGATCGAAGTCTTGCACCACCTGTGGGGGAAAAGGTTTATATTCCGGAGGTGCAATTATTGGTTGGAAGGGTTTGAATTCTGGTTTTGTAGGAGTTGTGGAATACTCTCTTGTGATCTCTTGTGAAAATGTCTTGTACTCTTGTGTCTCAGGTAGAGTGTACGATTTGAAATCTTTTATGATCTCTGTGGTCTTTGGTGGTTTTGGTGGAATGGGAGGTGGTACTTTTGGTAGTCCTGTCGATTCCGACTCTTTAGTGAAAGATTCAAATTTCTCGAAGATCTCAGGCTTGATGGGCTCGGGTACAGTGACCTCCTTTTGAACGACTGAATCTCCTTCTGTCATCTTTTTAACAAAATATTGCAGCGAAGATTCTTTAGAAATTGAACTTGTTTCTATTCCATCTTGAACTTCTATTTTCTTTTCTTCTATCGTCTCGTGTTGGCTTCTTGGTTCTGAGTGATAAATTTGGAAGTCTGTATGTCGCTCAATAATGGATGTAGTGTCCAATGGCTTGGGCATCAGGATTTCAGGTGTTGTATGTTCAAGTTTGAACTGTTGGAATTCTTTGGATGATTTCTGTTCAGTTGTGGTACCGTATTCAGACTTGAACATCGCCGATTGTGATGTTTCGCTAGAGGTTACAGCTGAAGGAAGTATTTCGACTTTTGGGATCTCCACTGGAATTGGTGTTGGTGTTGTGATGGTTGATGATATCTTGTCAGCTGAAGATGTCTACATGAAATTATAATAATGCATAGATGAGATAATGAGCCTGGTAGTTTATGAACGACTTACCAAAGTTTCATGTTTTCTGACGTCTTCAAAGACAACAGTTTTGACGACTTCCACCATCGTGTCAGGTGTTGGTTCGTATACTGCAATATCTGCAATGCTTTGAGCTTCGCCTCCCGCATTAGTTGCTCTTACCATGAATCTGCCAGTATGGCCTAGATCAGCTGCAATGAAAAACATTTCTAAGCAATCAGATATTACTATATATCTTCTTATAGAAATAAGTGAGCAGAAAATGGCACTTTGCGCTGTCTTATGGGTCTGGACGTCATACCTCAAATTGAGGACAGTTTATATGCTTTTTTAATCATTGTCCCACTTGAGACTAGGCCTAGACCATGCTGATGAGTTGCTGAAAAGCACGAATTAGCTATCCATGATTGGCTGTCTGTAGTGGGACTGTAAAAAGCAGCATGTTAAATGTCATAACAAATCAAAAAGCCAATCAGGCAAGTGGTCCAAAAGATTTGAGCTTGGTTCTCCATAACAGTATATTGGTACTCTAAAACTAATACCCATTTTTCTCTTTGACCGTACCTTTTTCAATAACAAGCGTATGCGATTGGCCCAGTGACTTGACTTTGGCGTCCTTCAGACATTCTTTCACAGGAATACTATCCTTGTACCATGTGATGGTTGGTTCCGGTGTTCCTGTAACTTCAACTTCCATGACGATTCTGTCGCCCTTTTTAATCACTTGTGCCTGCAGACGTCTTCCAAATACCGGTGGGAATATGGTTTCTAGAATAAAATATGTATTGTTCTATCTAGCACCAAAAATTCTTGAAACAGAAAAGGAATCCCGACAGGTTATTGAAGTGTTACGTAATGTATTAAGAAGCCCGTCGCATTCCTTAAAGGACAATCTATTAATAATTAGTTTAAGGAAAAGTATAGCAGCAAGACCTTACTTCTAACAACCAAGTCGGCTGTACTAACAGCAGTTCCTCCATCGTTGGTCGCTGTACACGAATATCTGCCAGCATCTTCGGCTGTGATGTTCTTGATTTCAACAGCAGTCCTGTTTTTGTCCCACTTGATCTTAATTCGGTCAGTTTCCTTGAGTTCTTCTCCATTCTTTGTCCATTTGATGTTGGGCGTAGGTTGACCGTCCAAGATACCTTCCAGTACCACGTCCACTAATTGGTCCACGATCTTGCCTATTACTGGGGTTACGAATTTCGGTGGACGTATCTTTGGTATTGGTTTTTGTATTAGCTCCTGCAATGAGTATTTAATAATCAAAACCTTATGTCCACTTTAATCTAAGCTAAACTAACTTATAGATTATAATCCCATGAAATAGTAGAGACGGTCTTGATACGCAGGATCCTGATACTATGACTTTATTGATTTACTTGCTACTACTAATATCATATCAAATATTGTCTAGATTACCTGGCTTTCTGATGAAGTAGTCCGGCTCTGCATGTCTTTTTTCTCGCCAACAACATAAGTGGTCGACGATTGCTCAGTTATTATAGGTGGTTGTTGGCCAACCTTGTGGAACTCCTCTATCTTGTGACTTTCCTTAATTTCAGGAGCATCTTGGTTTACCTTTTTGTAGGTTTGAGCGTTTTGCGAGATAATTTTGTGTTCCTCGATATGGGGCTCTGCGTCAGAAGCTATTATTTTGCTGGACTGGGATGTGGACGATTTGGTGACCACCTAGCAAAAAACAAAAGATTAAAAAGCTTCCAAAAGGAGTCGATTATAATGGAATCTATCTATTACGTGTGACTAATGGAATCCGCATCTAATACTTACTCTCCAAATTTTCAATATTCTAGATTTTACGAAATTTTTACAAAATTAGAAATTTTAGATATTTGGAAATTCTAAAAAATAAGGTTTCCAGTGTTTTGAAAATTTTGGCAATTTGAATATTCTGAAAATCTATAAAATGTTGTATACCCTAAAATTATAAATTCTAAGACCTTATAAATGCTGAAAGTTGTGAAAATATTGAAGATTGATAAAATATTGAAAATTTTGGTGATTTTGAAAATAAAAATTTTGGAAAAATAAATTTTGAAAATGATTAGAATCCAAGAAAATTGTCAGTGATTGGAGGTTACGTAAATTGTGGGAATGTTGAGTAACCTTGAAAATCTTAAAATTTTGAAAACCACGGTTTATCAAAATTTCAGGAGACTCTAATATTGTTAAAATCTTCAAAATTTTCAATATCTTCAAAGTGTGCTAATTTTTTTCCACTTTTTTCAACATTTTGAAATTTTCTGAAATTTCACAATTTCCAGGTTTTTCAAAAGTTTCATAACTCCCAAGAGTTTCAGAAATTCTCAAAATGGTAAGGTCTTAGAATTCCCAGAATAAAATCTTCAAATTTCACGAAACCTTCAAAATCTTTGGTATTATTGTACCAGTGATATCATGCCAGCTTTCAAATCGTCGAATATTTTACAATTTTCAAAAACTTCGTAACAAAATCTTCAAAATCGTTTAATTCTAAAAACTTCAAGACCTTTGGCACTAACCTCTCTGTTGATCGTGTAGGAAGACTCGACATGTTGTGTCTGTTCTGTCTTTAGAGGCGATACGATATCTGGTATTAGTTTCAGCTCTGGCAAAGCAGTGGAAGAAGCTGGTTGGACAGTTAAACTGGCAGCACAGCTTGCTTTGCCAGCTTCGTTTTCAGCTACGCAAGTGAGCGTTCCGGAATGTTCTTTTTTCAGATTTGGAATGGACAGGACTTGCCGGTCAGCGGAAGTTGATATCAGGAAGTCTTTGCCAGATATAGCGTCTCCATTGAACAACCATTTTACCTGCAGCGACAAAAAAATTATGCGATTTTGGATAATGGCACTTGCAAAAGAAAAAAAAAACAGTTTCGCTGTGCTAAGCTATCGGTTGTTCAAAAACTACTAATATATCGCGACACTGATTCAACAATATAAACCTTAAAAGTCATGACCTAAGGTATGGGGTAAAAGTTTCGAGAGAACGCTTGCTCTGAAATCTTGGTCGTAACTGTGTCCAAACGTGCGTTACAACGGATAGGAAGTTCAATACGAACAAAAATTGCGGGCACGCACTTTCAGAAAAATTCGTGAAGAGGAATTTTGAGTATTTTATAAAGCTTTGTGATTTTGTCGGTTTAGCGATGATCTTTTGTTTTAGATTGGACGCAGATTTCGAGACAGGATCGGAACGGTCGACATCGACGCGGTTTTTCCGGTTTTTTCCCCGGTTTGCGAAGCATTCGGAAGGAAAGCGATACCGATTCGGAAACTAGAAACTCCGCGCTTTACGCGGGAGCCAGAGTTGTCGCGGTAGGAGGAACAAACGCGATCGAAAATGGCCGGTAAAGTTGAAAAAGTGGTAGATTTTCGTGCCGTTCGACGTGCTTTTTCGATCTCCTCCGAAGATAAAGGAGCTACGAACCTGACGATTTTTGCGTGAGAAAGCCCGGACATCGGACTCAAAGATAGCGTCTTTTTTTTCCTTTATCCCTTGTCGTTCGAAAGTTTCTATTTTTTAAAAATTGCTCGACTAAATGCTACTTTTCGACGCGCGAAAAAGTCAATTTGTCATCCGGCTCTATCCTCGCCTGTTACTACCGTACGTGAGCGAGTAAAAATTATATAGCTGTCGAAAAATAACGATAATGAGCTTAGGAAACGATTCTGACCGTTAGAATAACCGTCAAATTTCGAAAAAGTAAACTTTGAGCGCCTCAAGAGTACCGATGACAGCCGTTTTTCGGCGTACTTTGTCTTCGTCGATACGGACCTGCGTTACGGATCGACATAGCTACGATTTTTTTTCGCAAAACGAAAGACCAAAGTCTCCTGATTAAACCGATATACGACACGTTACCCGATCGCATTTTTTAAACTCAGCAGATTGGCCTTTTCCTCAAAACTTATGTCCCATACGTCATGGTGTCTTTCTTGAGGACTCTGTTATTGAAACCTCTTACCTTTGGTGTTGGTTTGCCAGTCACAATGCATTCGAACTTCGTAGCAGTATCTTCAAAGGCAACTATATCGGAGAACTTCTCCTTGAACTCTGGTGGTACCTTGATCTCCTCATATTCCACTGTTTCCGGTGGCTTGAGCGACTTGACAATTAGTTGAGCAAAACATTTTGCGTCGCCATGTGTATTACTCGCCTTGACGGTGTAAACTCCTGCAAGGTATTAACTAGTTGATGGATCAAGTAAGCAAGAGATCCTGGAGTGTAGCGTCATCAAACATTTTCATAATGTCAGGTACTAACCTCATCATTTGTAAGTAAGGAAGCATCCATCAGACAGACGAGCTTCTATAAATCAATAAATTGCAACCCTATGCTAACCAATAAAAATTGCTGTTACGGAATCTAATGAAACTATATAGTTTCCGGATTTGAAAGCTTTTGGATTTTCGGAGAGCTTATTGAAAGTTATCAGCTATATAGTTACCTTTGTCTTCTGGCCGCACATGAGCTATTTCCAGCTTGACGTTTCCCTCATCATCGTGGGTACAACTAAAGTGTTGAGTATCAGTGATGGGCAAGTTGTTGAGTAGCCATTTGATGTCAGGCTTTGGTTCGCCTGTGACGTTTCCCTCCAAGACAACTTTGTCACCTTCCGATACCAAGACATCGGCCAGCAACTTGGTGAACTTTGGAGGGCTTCCAGTTGTTCCTTTCTTCTCTTCACCTTCTTTTGCCTTGCCGTCAGCCTCTGTGTCTGATAGTGGGGTGACACTGAGGATGCATCGACTTGAAGCTTCCCCTGCTGAGTTCAAGGCGACTACCTTGTATTCGCCAGCATCCTCTGGAAGTGCCTCTTGGATCACCAATGAACATCTGCCGCAAAAAATATAAATGCTCAATAAACCGTTTGATGATCAAATTTGAACATTGTCTGTAGGTTCTCAGAGTGCGACGCACGGCGCATCGCTGCTTCTGAGAACGAATGCCCTTACGACAATTTTGAATGCGGTGGGTGGTATAGACAGTTGTAAACTAAATTCGCGCTTCTGATTGTCATTGTCCTAGTGGCAATTGAAGAGCGAGATACAAAAGCTATCCATTGCGTTGGCCAGCAAATTTATTCAGCATCCCATTAAATGTCCATTAGGCTTTTTACCGCTGCCCTGTAGGTACCCAGCGTCCACAAGGGGCATTATCGCTCACTTTGAGAAACACACGAAACGATGTTTTGTCTTCCTATCAGCGCATGAATCAGGTACTATCACTCATTGCTCTTATTAGACACACATTTCTGTTGATACAAAAGTGGTTCATGATAATCTCTGCTAAAATATTGAATTATTATTCTGCCCTGATTAAAGAACCAGAACATTCCAACTTTGCCAGGGTTCGCCTTGAACTTCTTGGCCTGCCTGCAATGATTTTCTCAGTTTACTATAAGGTCGTTCGTCCAGGGCAATACTGATTGTCAGGCTAGAATTTGGGCTAACGCCAACGCTTTGCCAGATAGTTTGTCATTCGATCACTCGAATTCCACTGTGTCAAAGCCTCATTGTGAAATTATTTCTTTCGAACAAGCTAGATTCTGAAGAGGTGGTGCATTTGTAGACTAAGAATTTCTGTAAACATTGATAGCTGTATCTGAATGGAAAATCAGCGTATCATTGAATTATCTAAAAAAAGTAAAAAGTTTAAAATCAAATAACAACTGTGCCGAAATCACTACTAAAAACGTGCTGAAAAACTGTTTCGAAATTTTGGGATATCCTGTATTAAATTGGATCAATTGTTCACTGAGAAGCAGTTCTTTTCCTGAAAATTTGAAATGCTCTACAATAACACCAGTTCCCAAAATAAAAAATTCTAAAAGATGCAGCGATATGAGACCAGTAAATGTGTTACCAGACATTGAAAAATTATTAGAGTCCCAAGTGCATGACCAATTAATGCAGTTTATAGAAGAAAACAAAATTTTAGTGGAGGTGCAAGCAGGCTTTCGAAAAAAATATTCTACAGAAACAGCTTTCCAGTTGGTAACTGAGAATTGGAGAAGAGCCATAGACTCAGAGGAAGTTGTCATAGCAGTATTTTTGGATTTGAAGAGGGCATTTGAAACGATTGATAGAGATATTTTGTTAGGTAAATTGAAGGCATATGGTATAACAGGAAGTGTTTTAGATTGGTTTAGAAATTAAATATAAAAATATAAAAATAAAAAATTGAAAATACGTTGGGTGTTCCACAGAGCAGTATCCTGGGACCACTTCTTTTTATTTTATACATAAATGATTTACCTGCCATAGTCAAAAAATGCAAAATTTAGATTTTCGCCGATGACACTATGATTTATATAAGTAATAAAAATATTAAGTCTGATATCTCTTATATAAATGAAGACTTGAAGCTTGTCTCAAAATGGTTAGCATCTAACAGACTAAAATTAAATGCAAGTAAAACGAAAGCCTTGTTAATAGGAAAAAAACAATGTACAAATGTTCAACTGAATATTGATGGTGAAGATATTGAATTCGTAGAAAATTTTAAATACCTGGGGGTTTTTGCTGACTCTCGATTAATTTTTGATATTCATTATGAAAAAGTTATAAATAAGATTAGTAGTAAAGTGGGATATTTATCGAGAGTTTCTGGATGTCTGAGTTCATATAGCAGAAAGATTATCTATAATACCATCATTCTTCCAAATTTCTTGTACTGTTCGACTATTCTATATTTAGCAAATAATTCTATTTTTGACAGACTGCAAATTTTACAAAATAAGTGCATGAGAATAATACTAAATAAAGATAAATATACTCCAATTAGGCAAATGCATAGCAAATTAAAATGGCTCAATGTAAAAATGTTTATCAAATATCTTGTATTGATATTCATTTATAAAGTAAAAAATAATATATTTCCATCAAGTCTAACTAATTTAACATCATCAAATGTCGACCATCATGTACATAATACCAGAAATAAAGATGACTTCTATTTAATGACCAAAAAGTATAACATATGCTACAAATCTGTATTCCATCAAGGGTTGATTGAATATAATAAATTATACTCGGAGATAAAAGACCAGAAAACTTTGACAAAATTTAAAGTAAAATTGAGAAATCACTTGTCAAATCTACAATTATAGGTTGCCCAGCATTTACATCATACACCATATGGCTTGAATTTACTAGTTCTAAGTTGTTTACAAATATTCTGTTTATGTAGCCAAATGTGCTAAATAAATCTTCCTACTACTACTACAACTACTACTACTACGACTACTACTAGATTTTACGTACCTGTCACCTTGGAAAAGCAGCTGTATGTCAGTCGATTCTTTCACAGGCCTGTTGTCGTGGTACCAAATAACCTCAGGCTCAGGCTGGCCCACAATAACGCAGTCCAACCTGATCCTCTGTCCCTCCTTAACAGTTGTATTGCTCAATGGCAACTGGATAGAAGGCTTTATTGGCTCGAGGTCACTGGCCATTTCTGAATCGGAAGTTTCTGTAGGCAGTCGACCTTTCACTGACACGCTGCTAGAACTGGCAGCCTCTCCAGCGATGTTGCTGGCAGCTACTGTGTAGGTGCCGGCATCCTTGGGGAATGCTTCGAAGACTATGAGGGTTGCTTTGGGACCCTCTTGGTGGAGCTAGAATAGATACCGTGTGACGTTAAAGTAAATGAATATTCATCAGTCCAAAGATTAATTAAAGCCCAATCACCTACTAGCCGTGTGGGAAAGGGAGTTGGATCTAAACCAGAAGGAAATGGAGCGAGGTCGAACCTATGTAAGAGGTATATGAAACTGTAGAAGCTTGAATTCAGAGGAGAACTGTTCAGATTTAACTAGGCAAATGCTCAATAGGCATTCCAACAGGGCACTATGTAACGCGACACACTTGATAGATTTAAATCCGTTAACTAATTGTCGAAACTGGATCTATTGTATGCTATTTCGCCCCGTTCCATCACAGCTAAAAAGTCATAATTTCAACCCTGGGAGGGCTACAGTTACAGTTAGACAGATGTGAACTTTAAACCTAGCAAATACGGCTATGATTGTTCGATATAAGCTAAAAGGAGAAACACATGTGTACAACAAATGCTCAAACATTGTGAAACCAAAATGAAAAGGGTTCCACCAGATTAACGAGTCGTAAATGAATTCTAGTTCTTTTAGGTATGTCAGAAGATGGGCTTTCTGCATCTTCGACATTAGGGCCGTGTAACAGACATATTTTTTTGGCGGTAGTTGTATTCTTGCGAACTACTTACTGAGTGTTTCATTAGACACAATGTATGTTCTAGATTTCTAATAAGAATGAATTGCAGCCGTATGTGGTTGGTCACAGGAACGGAGAGCAAGTAATGCAGGCGCATTCAATAAAATGGAGATTGACTTTTTATGTTTTTGTAGCTCGAACATTCAAAACACAATACAGATAATGTGTGGATAAGTACAGCATATTTCAAGACTGTGCAACAGCTGTTTTGCAAGGCATCGCATTTTAAAAATATTGTATCCTGGAAGTCTAATTATAGATGGAACAGTTGCCAACCAGCACTTGGACACTTCCTCCTCACAATTAGAAATATCGCCTAGATGATGATCAATTATTTTAACTATTTCTATTTTTAATTCATACTTAAGTGTGTACAACTGAAGAATGAAATATCTAGTTCAAAACCCAGTACTACAGGTGTACCGCAAGGACCTATACTTGGACCATTGCTCTTCACTATATATACTAGTCAGATCCTTAAATGTTTGGAATTCTGTAAGTCACACGTTTATGCGGATGATACCCAGCTGTACTATTCTTTTCCTAGTTCAGATTGGCCAGCTGCCGAGTTGAAAATAAACAGTAATTTGACTAACCTCTCTAAAAGATTGCAAGAGCATTCATTAATATTAAATCCAAATGAATCAGCTGCTGTGATCTTTGGTAAAGACCGTTCTTATGTGATTGAGAATTTAAATATAACCATAAATAATATTAGATTAAAATACTCTGATAAAGTTAAAAACTTAGGCTTAACAATGGATTATAATCTGAGGTTTCGTGAGCACATATCAAACTGTATCAAAAAATCTTAACTGGCCCTAAAATTATTGTATCCTCACCGAAATTTTCTCAATTTAGACATCAAAAGAATTCTTTGCGAAACCTTGGTTTTATCACAGTTTTCGTACTGTGTTCCAGTTTATTCTGAATGTTTAGATTGTGATACATTCATGCGAATACAGAGAACACAGAATTCATGCAGACGTTTTATATATGGCATAAGAAAATTTGAAAGTCATAAGCTGAAAGAACTCCGGTGGCTAAATATGAAGGATCGTTTTGAGATATTCACAATATGCTTTTATCATAAAATTTTAACTCTCAGGCAGCCTCATTACCTCTACGAGAAAATAACATTCAGAAAAGACATCCATTCCGTAAATATTCGTTCGAAACAAAACATTACCGCTCCATTCCACAGAACTAAATTTTATGAAAGATCATTTACGTATAATATATATAAGCTATACAATCCTATCCCCCAGTACCTCAAATCATAGGAAATTCACAAGTTCAAAGCGGTTTTTGCGTGATTCTTACCTTGAATGTATAAAGTAGAATTATTCTTACTGCGGAATTTCAATTATATTTTGTTTGCATTCCATTATTTTATTTATATTTTTTTTTCATATGATGCATAATGTACGTATATGTATTTATATATCATTCTAGACTTTTAAATTTACCACCACATTTTCTCTTTGCTCTTTTTTTTCAAACTTAATTGTCGCTCATATTGGCGTTTGTTTATGCGGTATGTATGGGTATATCTATATATTATTCTAGACTTTCTTTTTTTTTAATTTATTACCACATTTCTCACTTTTCTATCTTATTTTTAAAAAAAACTTACATGCTGTTCATATTGATGTTTGCATATGCTTGATGGATGTATTTACTGGCATAATGTTTCTTACAATTTCAAGGGATGAGTGGAAGAGCACTAGATAGTGAACTCCCCCTTGTGATTTTCAGACAGTCGACATTTGTTTTATTTATTTTTTTCTTATTTTCCTTTTTTTTTGTTAATACTCATATTTCTCTTTCTGATTTTTTTTTGAGAACTGTTTGGAAATAAAGGCATTTATTATTATTATTATTATTATTATTATTATTATTGTATTGCATTATAGATATTACAAGATCAGCATTTACTGTGGTCCTGTGGTTTGCCGTCAAAATTGCTTAGTTATAGTGTACACTTTTAACTCGTTTGACTACCACTGCCTACCAAAGTAACGACGCTGTCTCAACATGATAATAAAATACTTACAGGTGGGAAGATTTACCTTGTGGAGCACTTTGTAAATTTAGGCAAGAAGTACTATGTCATGAAATAACAATTATCTGCAAATACTCGCAGCTTTAATAGATAGCACTAAACATACGAATAATTACAGATCTTTAAAAAAATTTACGTAGAGACAAAATAATTGTAGACTTGCTTCTTCTACATAGTCTGAATTCGTTGGTGTCAGTGAATGTCTATGGAAATACTCATTTACTTAAGGTGGAAATACACAAGAGCAGTACTTGCACCTCTATAGCCTATCGTGCAATTATTAGGAATACGAGACGATATATCTCAACATATTTATTCAAATATAATTTTGATGATGCATCGTGTTTAAAGATATGCGGCTATTTTCACAGCAAAAAATGAACCTTCATGTAGGTGTGAGAATCTTAGTCACCAATGACTTCAGCTGTTTATATTAATTCAAAAATAAATGGATTCGGGTTACACACAAAATGCAGAAGCATTTTAGGAAGATTGCCAAGCAGATTAACAGCTGCATATCATCTTTCTCAAGATACCACTTAAACAGTAATTAATAAATAGTTAAAGCATGACGAGAAGCTTAAAAATCACCCCTTACCTTAAGTTCACGCGTTTCTCTCACTGGCTTCCCGTCGTGTGACCAAGCGAGAGTTGGAAGGGGTACGCCGGAGACTTCGCATTCCAATTTAATCTTCTGTCCTGCTCTAGCCATAACATTAGATAGAGGAACGATGAAACGGGGGGCTTCTGTTGGCTCCAATGCTGCAAATTTTCATGCATTTTATCATTTGCTCAGTGAATTATAAATAAAGAAAATTTTAGTAAAAGTTTCTGAAAAGTGAAGGTAAACAAAAATAGACCCGGGTAACCTAATTCTGAGACGTTTTTAGTATTTTATTCTGAATGATTGTTATAGTCCAGAAAAATTTGTATCCTTTAGTAAGAATAAGGAATCATTGGGTATTCAAAAATAGATCAGGGGTCTGATTCTGAATGAGCTTAGACCGTTGAAATTGATTTCGATGGCGCCTTTTGGCGATATACTTGATTCACTATGATCGATGGCATAATTTCCGCGATTGACACTGAAAACTTGTGTGCTCTTGTCCTTTTAGATTTTTCGAAGGCATTTGATACATTGAATCACAAACTGCTTGTAGCCAAATGTCATTACTATGGCTTTGATGATCTTGCTTGTAAGCTCATCAAGTCATATTTAAGTGATCGGTCGCAAGTGGCTGTGGTTGATCGTCAGATGTCTTTGCCAAATAAAGTTCAGTCCGGAGTACCTCAAGGCTCCGTATTAGCTCCATTGCTTTTTTTTGTTATACACAGCGGATCTCCAAGATACTGTCAAGCACTGTCATGTGCAATTCTTTGCCGATGACACTCAGGTAAAGTAGGATTTTCCAGCCTCACGCTACTCTGAAGCCCAAGACCAAATCAATGAAGATTTGTCAAGTATTAGCCGCTATTGCAAGTTACATAACCTCGAGCTGAACCCATCGAAGTGTAAAGCCTTGCTATTTGGTAATATCAAAATAAGAGCAAATCTTATAAGCAAAATTGACGTTCAAATCGAAGGAAAAATCATCCCTTATTCAGAATGTGCCAAAAATTTGGGCTTACATTTAGATGAAGACCTGAGGTTTGAGAAACACTTACAGCGTTTGAGGCAATGTTACGGTTCGCTCCGGCTTCTATTTGCAAACAATTGCATCACTGGTAAGCAATTGAAAAAACAGCTATGTGAAAGCTTGGTATTGTCTAAGATTTCGTATGGGCTAATAATTTATTACCCATGCCTAACAGCTGCGAATAAAAGACGTCTACAGATAATGCAAAATACTTGTAGTAGGTACATAAATAATTTGAGGAAATTTGGTCATATATCGCATGCGTATTCTGACCTCAATTGGTTAACTATAGATAATCTATACAAATATTCTGTTATAAGTTCTGTGCATCGTATTTTACTAGCCGCATCACCCCCATACCTGTTTGAAAAATTTATTACCAGATCCAGCACGCATAATATTAACAGAAGGCATCAGGCTTTCTTTATACTGCCAGTCCACCGTACTGTTTTATATTCAAGAACCATTATTTACAATGCCGTTAAATATTTTAAAAATATTGCGAATATTAAAACTTTTAAATTAAAATTGAAGTCCGATCTTCTCTCGCAATCATGAATTGCCACTTATATTTTTTTTTATTGGTTAATGATGGTTGATTTTAAAAAAAATCCCTTTGATCACAGTTTTGTTGGTTTAAAACAAACCGATTTAAATGTATGTACCATAGTTAATGTCATCCATCATCTATGTAATTTCGTATAAATTATCAAAACGGGGTTAGATGGAAGAATAGCTCACGCTAATCCTCGCCCCTCGTAATGTACTAAATGTTTAGTGCAATAAAGACCCTTTATTATTAATATTATTATAATTCTGACACTTCCATGATACTTTGAAAATACAAGATCGATTATATCACATGTCAAAAGTACCGTTGCGATTTAAGTATATCGTCACAAGGCGCTGTCGAAATTAATTTCAACGGTCAAACTCTTTTAGAATCAGGCCCGTTATGGGCTAATAATTTTGCTTTTGCCTGTTTGACCAACAGAGGGCCATCGGTCTAGGTATCTAGGTAGGACAATGAACTAAAGCAGAATGGATGGTATAACGCATTATCCAAGCACAAGCCCGCAGTTGATCAAATTTTTTTTCGTGAATTTAAAACAAAACTTTTAGTAAAATCAAATCTTTTTTGACCATATCAAAATTTGAAGTAATCGATTCCTATCCTAAAGGATCCTCTTCCTCTGCTTTGTCTCCTCCATTCGTTCTTCACTTTTTCCTTAACATTGGTTCCTCGGATACCAGAACTAACATACTTTGTCGCAAGAGCTAACGTCCTGTACGATCCACTCCAGCAACTAACGATGACTTGACTATAAGGTCTATCGGAATACGACAGTACAAGTGTCATCTTTTACGAGAATGAACCACAGCATCTGTCTGTTGGAACCGTAAAGGTATCTTAGGCCCGTATCGTCAGTCGTCCCTACAATTGTAGGGCGCGTTTATGGCCTCCTTGATTGTCATACTTCTTTCTCTCCTTCAAAAATTTCTAGATTATACTTGTCCCGTGTCAGCGTCAGCGCTTTTCTATTGTGAAGATATGTTTTCTTTCTAATTGTAGGAAATTTCAGGCTGATAAAACATGATATAACTCAAAAGAAAGCACAATTTGATGCAAATAGATGTTTGTGACATAACCTCAAAATAGGGCGCTGACACGGAGAAGTAGAAAACTATGACAATCTAGGAGGCCATAAAGGCGCCCTACAATTGTAGGGACGACTGACGATAGGGGCCTTAGTTTGCCTGCCGGATCAGCACTATGACCGCTTGATACAGCCGATTATGGCGATAGACTAGATAATGGTATAGCCGTGATTAAAAACTAATAATACTGGGCTCGCCCGTGTGACCAACAGAGGGCTAACAATGTATAGCGCCGTTTCATGCTCACTGGGAACAGCACGATTTAGTGCATCAAGCGGTCATAGTGATGCCTCTGCTGTCCAAACAAACTGAGATATCGAATATCTGCAGTTCCAAAAGGCAGAAGCTGTTCACTTTCGCAATGATCGATTCTGATGATAGTAGAAAAGGGGGAGTGGGGAGAAGGCCAGATAATCGATTCGAAGACGTCCCCCGATCAAATGAGGGCTTTTAAGACTCGGAGTAAGACCCTTACTTCGTCCTGAGAAACACGTCACTCCATCTCGGGTAGAGATATGTTTTATCCAGTATTGCCCAGGACGAAAATGGTTTAGGAGACGAATAACCTTGAGCTTGGATAGGCGGCAATCAAACTAATCAGTGTTTCGAGAGTTTAGGGAAGCTTTAGGCACCAGTCCTGATTAGTGCACGTGCCTTGGCACCCATGCAGTTTGTGATAAGAACGGCTTCTAGTGAATGATTCTCTAAGGGATTAATTCTCGCCTCTGCCACTAGGGAGGAAGGTTTCCATCCAGGTTCCTATTCTTGAATATTATTACTCTATTTTGATGATTTTTGTAACTTTGTTCAATCGTATCGAAGCTTCCGTTTGGTAGATTGAAACCACTTTCTATGGCGGGAGGACTGCCTATCTAGTGCACCTCACAAAGACTTAATTGTGTGCTGAATGTAAATTCATGATGAAATATACATATTTCCAAAATGAGCTAGGCGAGACTAAACGGTCTAATATTTTTTTAATGTTATCGAAATACGTCAGTCTAACAAACTCTGATCATGTCATTTGGGATAGGATATTTACAATTTACCTAAAACTACTTTACACAATCAATAGTTCAAAATCTAAAATCTACAAGGTCATCATAATGTGAAGAATATTTTACAGTCCATTTAAACCTAATGATAATATCCAACCTCACTACTGGCAAGTCAAGAACAATTTGAAATTTTGGATAACTTCAGGCTTCTATTTAGCGAACATTGAGGTCCGTCAGACAGGTCTAAGATGACATTTTTTGCGGTTGCCCTTTCCTACTGGACTCGGACTATAAGTATCTTCGCCACGTTTGTTATTTTGAGCATCTACTGTATCACAGGGTTTAAATATAGAAAGCCGCTTTTTAGGACAAAAGGAATGGATAATCTATTTCTGCCCCGTTAATTATTTCGTAAAATAGATACTTATACAAATGTATTGTCATTAAAACTTTCAACTTTTTTATTATTTTGGGTACCCGCTTGTGTTTGCCAAGTTATTTTGGTGTGTAGGACGCGATATTTATTATTGCGATCGGTTTACATGCTTTACATGAACGGAACAGCAATTGACTGAGATTGTAAACAGAGAAACAAAGATAGTGTTAAATACGTTTGTCATATATGATACAGGGTTTGTCCGGAAAGTAATAGTACTCATTTTCTTCCGCCATGACTGTACTCCGGAGCGTGCGCGCAACGACTGGATTCGGTAGAGGGCGTTCCTAGCTAACGAATGAGCGGCTGGTCAGTTGTCTCCGAGCACTTGGAGAGTCAGGACAGGCAGTTTTCACGCGTCGTGTTTCTGTGAGTGGTGCAAGCCGAAAATGCAGCGTTCGTTAGAGTAGAGGTACGCGATTAAATTCTGTGTGAGACTCGGTAAATCTGCTACAGAGACGTTTGATATGATCAAGCAGGCTTACCCAGGTGTTGCTTTAGCAAGAAGTGGTGTGTTTCGGTGGTACCAGGCCTTTTTGGAGGGCTGGGAAGAGGTCGCTGATGAAGACCGTGCTGGGAGGCCTTCGACTTCGACAAACACCGATAATGTGACTCGTGTGCGCAAAGTTTTGAACTCAGACCGTCGACTAAGTATTCGTTTAATTGCCCAGATGTTAAATTTACCAAAATTTGTGGTTCATGACATTGTGACACAGCATTTGAACATGCGCAAGGTGTGCGCGAAGATGGTCCCAAAAGTGCTCACTGACGACCAGAAATTGCGGCGAGTGGAAGTGTGCCAAGAAGATTTGAACATGTGTGAAAGTGACCCACAATTTTTGAATAACGTAATAACAGGTGACGAGTCGTGGATATTTAGGTATGGTCCCAAGACAAAGAGGCAATCTTCCGAGTGGCACACGACGGCGTCTCCTCGCCCAAAAAAGGGAAGAATGAGCAAATCCAAAGTGAAAACGATGCTCATTGACTTTTTTCACATCAAAGGCATCGTCCACCATGAATTTGTTCCTCCTGCACCGGATCACACCGTCTTTCTTGTGAACAGCTACCTGACCAAGGCCGGCATCCCAACGCTTCCGTAGCCACCTTACAGCCCAGATGTGCCCCCCCCCCGGACTTATTTTTGTTTCGTCGCCGGAAAAGGCCGATGAAAGGCAAGCATTTTGAGACGACAGAGGGGATCCAAGCAGCATGCACCGCGGCTTTCAAGGCTATTACGGAGAATGCCTTCGGTGACGCCTATTTTGAAAGTTGTTAAAGAATTGTAACGATTGGATCAATAAATCTTTTTTAAATCGACTCAGTCCTATTACTTTCCGTACAAACCCTGTATGAAATAAGACGTTTTGTGTTGATCAGTAGAACTTTCACAGTCTAATGGAGAGCGCTTTCAGAAATAATATGGAAGTAAATGTGAGTCCTGAAACACCGGCTAAATGAGATACTTGGTGTTGAACTGTATTTACGCATTCGGACGGAAAAATTAGGCAGTCAAAGCACGCATTGGAATTTTGTAAATATTTGAACTCTCCAAATTTTTTGTATTAAAGATACACTCAGTATTGTTAAAATTCACAAAATTTTCGAAATTTGGCAAAAATTTCAAAACCTCAAATTTTTGAAAAGCATCATGATTTTCAGGCTTCTTACAACGCTCAAGGTACCCAAAGCACCCGAAATTTTTCACACGCTTCACAATTTTCTGAATTTTCTGCTTTTACAAAATTTTCATATTAATCAAATTTAAAAAAATTCATCAAATCATAATTCCCGATGTGTCCAAAATTTTCAAGATTTTCACGAATCTCAAACATTTTCAAATTCTCTCTCTCTAACTTTCAAACATTTAAAATAAATTAAATCTTCAATATGTTAGAAAATTTCAAAATTAGGTATTCCTTTTTTAACAATCGTAGGACAACAATCTATACAGGGTGACTTCGAAGTTGAGTCATTTATTTTAACAGTGAGTAGATCTGATCAAAGGAAATGTTTTTTTCCTTTACTATTTTTCTGGTAAAATTAAAGTAACAAAGTTATAGCCCTTTGGAAGTTTGAGTACCGCCCTGTCTCAATAATAATATCATGTGCTCGTGTTTGGCAACAACGGATATAATCCGCCTTATAAGTTCATCGCATCGGAAACAAAAAAGCGAAAGAATTTGGAACGATGTTTTTACAATTATTTTATTCAGTTCAGTTATACATACAGTCAGTGTCAGTCGATAACGCGTGTGAATAGTGTCTGTTGCGTGGCTCAAACGAAATAAAAAAATGGCACATGTTTATGCGGATCGGTTTCCCAATCGAGTGCAACCAACCCCTCGTGCCTTTGTTAATGTAGTACAACGGGCTCGTGAATCAGGTGACTTAAGACCTCACAGGGGACCTCACGATCAAATACCGGTCCGCACTGAAATTCTTGTCGGGAGGATACTTTATAAAACAAGGTAAAATTTTTTTTTTATTTTTTTTATTTTTACACACATATTTTGGTTTATCTTCCTTCTACAATCATTATCTGAAAATTAATGACTCAACTTCAAAGTCACCCTGTATAAATACCTAGACTTAAACCATATTTCTGAACATTTACGGATTTGACATTTTTCCAAAATCTGAAGGCATACACGTGACGCGTATCATGTTGTGCTTCACCTTAAGCTCACACTGAACTTTGGAACCTTTGGTCTGTTTGTCGTCTAGTTATTTAAAAGCTTCCGGTATTGGAATAGGTTTCAGACGATGTTTGACCTTGAGGTATTGCTAAAGCTGAGATCAGGGAAATTAGCAGAACTAGGTAAGCACAAAAAAATAAAACAAACTCACGTGTAACGACCAGATTTGCAGTAGATTGCGCCATCCCCAACTGATTCACAGCCTTGCAAGTATACTCCGCCTTATCACCAAGCCCAACTTTCTCAAATCTCAAGACGGCATCTCCATTATTATAGGTGATAGTATAGTCAGGAGAATTATCAATGCACTCGCCGTTTTTAAACCACTGAACAGTGGGAAGTGGGTTTCCTGTAACTTTGCACTCAAACTGGAAGGACGAGTTTTCTTTGGCCACCTCCGGTTGTAAGGTCTTGGTGAAGGATGGAGGTGTCAGGATTTCTTCAGGCTCAGATTCCTTGACTGACAGATGAGCTGTGGTTTCAGCATCTCCAGCGGCGTTATGCGCCCTGCACGTGTATCGGGCAGAATCTTCAGCAAACGTTTCTTCAATGGTCAGAGAACAGATGCCATCGTCGAAGGTTGTGTGGTAGTCTGGGTTGTTTTGGATGGATATGCCAGCTTTGTACCTGTTTAAAATAGATAAACGTCTTTTTTGAGATCGGGCAACCTCATATATTTCAGAAAGTTCTTCTTATCAGGGACAAAAACGATAAAAATAAAGGCGAATGAAAAATAACGCGGTACATTCTTCAAATCTTAGCACTGAAAAAAAAAATAGTATTTTTACATACCAGGTTACAGTTGGCTTAGGTTGACCAGAAACTTGACAGACGAAGGTGAATTTGGAACCTTCTTGGATCACAGCATCACTCAATGGAGATGTGAAGATCGGCGCCTCCGCAGCATCTTCAACAATTGGCAAGGGAGATGGAACCCTTTTAGACGTAAGTAACATCTCCGTTTTCACATCGGTTATTTCAGTGATCTCAATCCGATCTATTCTTTTTTGTTCTTCCATCAATCTTGCCTGTTCTGCTCGTTGCCTTTCTTCTTCTGCTTTCTTTTTCTCCTCTTCTACTTTCTTTCGCTCTTCTTCAACCTTTTTCCTTTCAATCTCGATTTTTCTACGCTCTTCCTCAAGTCTAGCTTCTTCGATCCTCTTCAGTTCTGATAAACGTGCTTCTTCTTCTTTCCTTCTCAACTCTGCTAGACGTGCCTCTTCTGCCTTTCTTTGTTCCGAAATTCTAGCTTCTTCTGCTTTTCTCTGTTCTGCTAATCGTGACTGTTCAGCCTTTATCTGCTCTTGCAGTTTAGCTTCTTCTGCCTTTATTTGAGCTGCAAACTTCTGTTCATCCAATTTGCGCTGCTCTGCTAGTTTTGATTCTTCTTGTTTTCGGAACTCCAGGATCCTGATTTCTTCGAGCTTGCGTTGTTCGATGAGGATTCGTTCTTCATGTATCCTTTTCTCTTCAGCCTGTCTACTAGCCTCCTCAGCATGTCTTCGTTCTTCTTCAGCCCTCCTTCGCTCCTCTTCAGCTTTCCTTCTATCATCTTCTGCTCTTTTACGTTCAGCTTCAAGCCTAGCTTCTTCAGCTCTTCGTAGCTCAGCAAGTCTAGCTTCTTCTTGCTTTCGTTTGAGCTCGATCTGTCTGGCTTCCTCAGCAGACTTTGCCTCAGCTTGACGGCGTTCCAGTTCGAGTCTCCTTTTTTCCTCCTCAAGCTTCCTTCTTTCTTCAGCTAGTCTCTGCTCTTCAGCTTGTTTGGCTTCTTCTGCTTTTCTTCGTTCTTCAGCCAGTCTAGCTTCTTCTGCTAGTCGTTGAACCTCCACCTGCAAGATTTGAAGGAAGGTCATGATAAATCCTATATTTTTAAACGAGATCCGTGATAATTAATGAGATTAGAGACAATTCAAAAGGATTCAGGAGATCCGACGAAATCCAAGAAAATCTGAGCAGATCCAGGGATTTCCAAGGAAACTAGTGACAAGGAGATATTCGTTCGTGTAAGTGATTAGCGCTCGTTGGTGAGAAGGCGTGTTGAGATCTAACATTTTGATGTTCACGTAACAGTTAATACCCTCATAACATCCGCCAAAGATGGTAATTGGTACTTGATTGAATCATTTGAGTCAAGTTGAGGAACTGTATGACTGAAACGGATAAGGTGAAAAGTTTTCGGAAAATTTATAATTGCTACATAGGTGCGCGTATCATTTGTGCGTATGACAATTTCCAACTTGTCTACACGAATTTTTGAAGTAGCCGTGTTGCATGGTTTTCATTCAGATGGCTACACCTGAATATCGTTCTGGATGGACTAACCGCAAAGGAAATTATTTTGAAATTATCAAAGCTCACAGGGGGTCTACTCCTTCGATTTCAGCTGTTAAAAATTATGCGGCTGAACTTAAACGTGACCCACTGAATGTTGGCCAAACCACACCTACAACCATCGAAAAGTTCCGCGTTACCGTGTTGGACGACCCGAAGGCTAATAAGATAGCTCAGGCCGTAGGGATATCGAAAGAAAGGATGGGAAACGTCTTGCTCAAATAACAAGGAATGCTATGCACGGGGTAGGTGTCTCATTTGCTGAATGCTGATATGCAGACGAGCTTCGCAGCAATGTTTGGGCCAATTCAAGGCGAATACTGACAAGTAGCTTTACAAGTTCTTCCTATTTATATTCAATTTATAAATTGGTATTACGATTTTTCATGAGTGTTATGAAAAGTACGACGTTTCGGCGACCTGAAACATCATCTTCAGGTATATTTGAGTTTCAAAAATAAAACAAAAATATGTGTTCTGTTTTTCTGAAACCTTCTGCATCGTCTTGATAGGTTCATCCTATCATTATTTCCGTTGAGATCCATTTTCACCCAGGACTATAGTAACTTTGCAGTTTGAATTTATAAATTTTTGGGATTCGGTCAACTTAAGACATTTATTAAAAAAAGACGTTCCGGCGACTTTCGCCATCGCCATCTTCGGGTACATTTTTTTGTTAGAACAATGTTATTGAAAAGTGCAAACCTGAACAACTCTACATATGAGATTATCAACATGGCAGTGCCGTAATTTGGACGAGAGATGGCTCCACTACTAAACACCAAAAACAAAACGTCGGTAGAAGTCAGTGTGAAGTGAAAATAGATAGGGCGAATACTATTTTAACTTCTTTGATAAACTGATTTAAAGAAAAAAGATAATTGTTCACCAGGACTATACATCCGTTCACAAAGATGTGTTAACACTGGGAAATCGCTTTGAGTCCAATGAAGAAGTCGAGGGACTGTAGATGTATATTTTGACAGCCTTCCAGAGTGAGTTGGAGTCTAAAGGGACTGCGAAATCACTTCTAAACTGAAAATCCTTGTCAAGGCGAGGACTTTTCACTCTACATAATACATACCCTTTTCATTTCCTCAGCGATCCGAAGCTCCTCAGCCTTGATCTTTTCTTGCGCTATCCTAGCTTCTTCAGCCAATCTAGCTTCCTCTGCCTTGCGCTTTTCTGCAGCTATTCGTGCCTCCTCAACCCTTCTAGCTTCTTCCTCAAGTCTTTTTTGCTCTGCAAGTTCTGCCTCACGTCTTTTTCTCTCTTCCTCTATCCTCTTTGCTTCTTCTTGTTCTCTTTTCATTTTTTCTTTCTCTTCCTCAGCAGTCCGGAGGTTGTCAGCCAAGGTCCTCAGCTCTTTGGTTATGGTGTTGAAGGACTCGATCATCTCTTTGTTGCCGCTTAGAACAGGGGCGTACTTGGATTGATCGGGACCGTACAGTTGGTGGGCGAGTTCACTTATTTTTGTAATTCTTTCGCTTTGTTTAGCTTCTCCAGGTCTGAGGAAGTTAGTGACCTCGCTCAAGAGGTGTTCGGCTTCTTGGGGTTGTCTTACAGTTGTTGATTTTCGAGCGATGGTGACTAGGAGTTTGCTTCCTTCTTTGAACCATTCGTCAGCCTGAACGAAAAAGGGCCATTTTTTATTCGATCTCAGCGTCCTTAGAAGTAGGATTTGAAAAGCGTCCAACTCAAAATTTACAGAATGCAAAATTTTCTATTTTTTTAAACTTCGCCAAATTTCCGGAAATTCATAAATTTCTGAGTCTACGGATTTTAAAAAAATTCAGAAATTCAAATATTCATGAAATATTCAGTCTTCGAGATGTGAAGAATACTCAAAACTTTCACAACTTATGAGATTTTAAAAATTCTCAAAATACTTGAAATTTGCATAACTTGCAAGTTTTTAAATATTCCAATAGATATCTTTAACATTTTTTGGCTTCTCCAACATTAACCCATTTTTAATATTTCCAAAGTTTTCAAAATTTTCGGGATTATCGAAACTTTCCAATGATTCAATGTCAGCAGAGATTCTCACAGTTTTGGGAATTCCTAAATCCAGTAACAGAGAAGCTCAATATTTTTGAGAATGTTTACGATCTACACAATTTCTAGCGTTCAAACATTTGAAATCTTTGAGAATCACAAAAATTCCAACAATTTTTGCGATTCTCAAGAATTTCGAAATTTTTTAGGACATTAAAGGTTTTTCTATATTTTAGAACTTCTAAAAATGCTCACAATGTTAATATTGATGGGTATTATGATTATTTAGCCTTCGAAAGATTCACAATTTACAAATATTCTTTTGCATCAAAATTTTCACGATTGCCAGAATTTCTAAAATTTCCAAACTATAAATGTTTTCAAATTTGCAAGGAATTCAAAGGTTTCAAAAAGCTCGTGATTCTCAAGCTTTCTGGGCTTTTAAAAATTGCCTAAAATTTCAATATTGATAACATAAATGTTTTCAAAATTAAATACAGTTCTAGATGTTAAGCTAGTTAAATGTACCAAGTTTCAGAAAATTTCAAAATTTTCTAAAATTTCAAAGTTCTTTAACCGGCTTTTGTCCTCTGCTGAAATACTGACCTCGTCTACCAATTGGAAATACGGAACGCTCATATCCATCAGGCTCCTGACCGTCTTAGCCTGATTCTTCAAGTTATTCCAGCGATCCTGCAGCCCAGATAGTTGGCTCTGAACGTACGGCGATTGCGCATGGCACTCTGCCAACAGTTTTTCTCCGGTCTTTACCAATGTCTGAATACGCCGTTCCAGCGACTGAAAAATAAGAACATTTACAATTAGACACCCGTTAAGTATAGTCTAGTCACTTTAAAGGACACGGATTTTAATCTAGAGGCACAAACTTTTCGAGATTTTCAAGTTGAACTTCAAAGTAGCAAATTACCGAAGATAACATTCCTCCCGGAAGGTTCCACATACAGGAAGCCGAGATAGATTCACTTCAGTTTTCATAGCAATTGAGAATAAGATATGTTTTTGTACATCTCGAAAAACCATTTCACTCATTTCATGTCTGTCAGTCTGTTGGTCTGTCTGTCGGTCAGTCTGTCGGTCGGTCTGCCGGTCAGTCTGTCGGTAATAATCGCTGTTGAGTTAAATAGGCCCTCTGTTAGATTACTTTGACCTTATGCAGCCTAAGATTTTGAGGATCTAATTAAGGCTATATACCTATATCTTTAATCAAAGATTAAGAAGCTTGTTACTTATGTAAACGTAAAAGCTTGATTCCAGAGTCACTGGATTATACCTTGCAGCAAACTTATCTTAAATGTGTGTTAAAGTTGGCACAGGAATATACATTTATTCTGTTTGAGAATATGGTCGTTAAATATAGTGGTGAGATATGGCAGAGGAGTTATTTAGCTTTCGAGACTTCCTGCAGTTATTTTAGATTCCAGTGCAGCGGATTGTTTACATATTGTGCTTTCGTGTAACTAGAAAATACGCATATGCACCTGCTTTGGCGGCGAGTTCCGATTTTTCTAAGATAATTTTAATAATGTTGATGTTGCTATCTGTACATATGTTAACTTCAAGAACAAACGAATAATAATTATGCATTATGAGGTGTGTGTATGTGAATTCATATCGTCAATAAAATAGTATAATAGTTTCCATATCCGTTACATTTATGTCTCATACACAGGTGTGCCACAGGGATAGTTCTGAGCTTCAATAAATAGTCATGGGTAAAGCCCTGAAGGCTACCGCTGCCTGGAGATGCACGAATATAGTGCAGTGTCTCCTAAACAAACACACGGGCAGTTTTTATCAGCAGGCCTCAAAGTCTGTATATAATGTCGAAATACCGATAGAATTTGTTAATTCGAGCTCTTACTGCCCATCCGTCAGGTAGACCGAGATTTTCATTCTCCATTGAACGATTTAAATTAAGGACTCATCGCTATGGCCAAACTTGGCCCCCAATAATGTTGAACAACTTACAAGATCAGGCTTTCAGCTTTTCTATTGAGCACAGTTAGCTCAAAGTACCTTGAAAGAGGCCACTAATCTGACTGAAACGACAGTACACATTCAAACCTACGTATGTGGTTTCATTTAACTGCCAAAATAACATGGTGAATTGACTGTTGAATTTCTTTAGCAGTAGCGGTATCAGTATATTTCACCTTACCAGCTGCAGGTATATTAACAAAAATTATGTGAAAGAGCAACTGTTTTGAACAGTTCGTAGAATATATTGTTTCTTACCTCCATGGATTGTTCAACATTGTTGAAAGTTTGCGACACAGCCTTGGCACTGGGTACTGACTCCCCATACTGTCCTTTGACGTTCCTGACTTGTCTGCTGATTTCCTCTATGCTGCTGTTGATCTGCTTCAATTCACTGTCGAAAACACATAGTTGCCTGTGGGATTCCAGACTGTCGTGTCGTCGTCTCCATTGGCTCTCGAACTCAGCACGTCTGAGTTCCAGGACATGCTGGAGCTTGTTGGTGTCTTGTTCTGCTGCTGCTTCGGGTTCCTGAAGGGAAAAATGGTGTAAAGAAATACTTTCCAGTCATTCGAAACAACTTATTGTACAATTCTCCATGTAGTACAATTTCGAACCATTAGTGCAGCATTTGGGTTTTTCAAGAAAAAAATTGCTCAAATTGGGTGTATATATACTAAGTGACATATAAATCCAAACACCCAGATTAAATGGTTTTATTTTAATAAAATTTTGTAGAAGTACTTAATGAAGCATAATAAGTAAATGATAAAAATTTCAAAATGATTGCACTGCTATAAAGCCCTTTGACCTTTAATAATGTGTGGATGCATCCTGATGTGCTACGCATTCTCCAGCGCGCCTAGGCATGCTTCTGATCAGGTGGTCCATGTACTTCTGTGGTATCTCATTCCAGGCAATCACCAACTCCTCTCGAAGTGCTTCTAGAGTCTGAGGAGGACATTGCAAATTGAGCAATCTCCTACCCATCATATCCCACACGTGCTCAATTGGGGATAAGTCGGGAGATCTTGATGGCCATGGTAACAATGTGACATCATTATGTTGAAAGAAGTCTATTGTGACTCTTGCATCATGTGGTCGGCCATTATCTTGTTGGAAAGTTGGATTTGTCAGGGTGTCAAGATAGGGTAAAAGATGAGGTTCTAGAACTTCGTGGATATAACGCTGCGCATTCATGTTACCTCTGATGAAGATTAAAGGTGACCTGGAACCATAAGCTATAGCACCCCAAACCATAACTCCAACAGTGTGATGAACATGTCTTTCAACAAAAAACTGTGGATTCCTCCTTTCACCACGTCGCCTTCTAACCCTGGCACGACCATCGTGCATGCCTAAACAAAATCGAGACTCGTCACTAAAGACAATACTGTTCCATTCCTGATCCCAGAGTGAGCGTTGTCTGCACCACTCAAGGCGATTACGTCGGTGTTCTCGAGTTAAAGGGAGGACCCAGTGTGGCCGGTATGAAAACAAGCCAAAACTTCTCATTCGTCGGTAAACACTTCGCATGCCAATAGGTCTTCCGTGTTCTGCAAACCATTCATTTGCAATGGACCTGGTAGTGGAGAAACGGTCCCTTAAGGCCAATAATCTTAGGCGGCGATCTTCACGGTCTGTTGTTCTACGGCGGCGTCCAGTGCCCCTTGCTCTTTGCGTACGGCCTTCTCAAAGCCATGCCTGACAACACCTAACCACAGTGTCTACACTTCTTTGCACTCTAACTGCAATTGCCCGAAAAGAAAGTCCAGCTTCCCGAAGTCCCACTATACTGCCCCTATCAAACTCACTAAGTTGACGAAATCGTACAGGTCTCCGTACTCTAGGCATTGTAACCGATCGTAAAGGATATCAAGAACTAAAATCTGCCAACGTTGATTCTTTACTGCGGCTGAAATATTCATTTTTAGAGCGTTAGTGAATTAAAAAAAAGCAGTATAAAAACCGGAATGTCCAACTGATAAGGCTGAACATTTTTTCACTTGTTATTTACAGTAAGATAAATACATTCACCAACTTTGATTAAAATAAAACCATTTAAACTGGGTGTTCGGATTTATATGTCACTTAGTATAACTTACCATAAGAAATCAAGTAACCTCCTTAAATTACATTCCAAGAATTATCCTCGTATATATAGATATTGAGCCAACATTTTCCGCTACCTGCGTTTATAAGTCCCTCGGATCCACTACCAAAGATACAATATTTACAACCCCTTGGCGCACGGCATATGCGACCGATAGGTACGCGATCGGTCAGGTGAACATATTTTTCTCAGATTTAAGGATGTATATACGGGAAAAGATATGACAGTCAAACATACCCATACAATTGATCCATAGAAATGTTCCCTCCTCTACCGACCAGGTAGCAACTTAACTCACTTTGGAAATTATTGTATTCCATATAACTGTTGAATGGACGTATAACTGAATGATGTGCTTGCAGCAAAACTCATTATTTTTTGAACGGACCAATTTAGCAAGTTGGAGTTAAGGGCAATAAAATTGATGCGGGGTTGCTATATCTCAATATAAAAGTAGCAGATCAAAGTTTCAAGATGGCGCTTGGAGTATTCTCTTAGATGGAATGATGGATCGTGTGATACCTCATTTTGAAGCGAGAAGCGTGCAATATCTATGTTAGAAAGAGAACAGTGATGGCAATGCGGCAAGCCACACGTGCGTCTGTGGCCTCGTCAATGGGGTGGCTAGACAACGGGGTGCTTCTACCGCTTTCCAACACACGTATTGTACGCTTCTCGTGCTTCACTGTATAACTCAACAACTAATTACCAAAACGTTATAATATACAGGGTGTTTCAGTTTATTGTTGCATAACTTTAAGATTCGATAGAACTTTTAAAATTAATGCATAAAGTCTATATAAACATGGGTCGAAAAATGCGTGGCTTCCGGAATACAGGGTGTTCAAATTTACTTTCTAAAATAGTTTTTTTTAAATATTTCGAACAATATTTGATGCATAACAGTGAAAATTGGTATACAAGGGTTTTTTGGTACGACAAAACGAACCACGGTCATAGTTTTACTGTAGCCGCTAGAGGGCGCTCTCTACTGTACCTGTAGTGTATTAAAATGACCGAAAACATCTTCTTAGTGCAATTTTTTGCTTTTTGAATAAAAAAGCTGATTCTTCGCACTTTTCAACATAAAAAAGCTCTCTTGTGAATTTTCGTTATAGTTAGCCGTTTTTGAGATATTTCGATTTTGAAGGTTCGATGCATTTTTAATTATTTATGATAAAATAACGTTAAAAAGTCAGTATCTCTATAATTTTTAGAAGTAGGCTGTGCCTGCAAATATTTTTGAAATTGAAAGCAGAATAAGGTTAAACGTCAATTAGTTGACAGTTAGTTTTGTTGTCTGTTGAAACCTGAAACGTTTTTTTGCAATTGTGAATGCACGAAATTTAGTTTCTTTTACCTGTTTTTTTGTAAGTTTTATAAAAATGCCATTTCTATTTTCCAATCAAGAGTTAGCGGATATTAATTTTGTGTATGGCTTTGTAAATGGAAACGCAGCAGAAGCAGCCACAGAATACGCACGAAGATTTCCAAACAGACGACATCCAACTCGCTCAGTATTTGTAAGAGTGCATCGCCAAATAATTGAAAATGGTTTTGGAAATCTCCAAAGGGATCAAAACATAAATGTTCGACAGCGCAGATTTACCCATATGATTCTGCGTGAGTTTGATAGAGATCCGACCACCAGTGTTAGGAAAGTTTCTGGTGCCTTAGGAATTTCAGCAAGCCATGTTCACCGTGTTCTTAGAAATGACCATAGACGTCCTTACCAATTGCAACCTGTGCAAGGACTACAGCCAGGGGACGGAGAACGAAGAAATACATTTTGTCAGTGGATTCTTGATAGAACTGATAATAATAGGTAATTTTTAAGTAACGTTTTATGGACCGATGAGTCGTGCTTCACTAGACGTGGAGTGGTAAATTTTCATAATCAACATATTTGGTCGCATGAAAATCCACATGCAGTTCGGGAAAGAAATTTTCAGCATGAATTTAGTGTGAACGTGTGGATTGGTATCTACCGTAATCGACTATTTGGACCCTACCTTTTGCCTGCAAGGTTAAATGCTGCGACCTTCTTGGAATTTTCAAAGGCTGAACATGCAAATATGTGGGATGATGTTATGTTAGATTTAAGAAGATTGGCCTGGTTCCAGCTTGATGGTTGTCCAGATCATTATACGAGAATAGTTAGAAACTGGCTGGACGAAAATTATCCAGAAAGATGGATCGGCCGTGGAGGACCAGTCGCCTGGCCTCCACGATCCCCTGACCTAAATCCATTAGATTTCTTTGTGTGGGGATTTCTAAAAGAAAAACTATACCAGACTCCCGTAACCACAAGAGATATGCTAATAGAAAGAATCAGGAATGCATGTGATGAAATAAGGCCTTATTTGAATAATGCTATACCACGTTCGATCATCCGTAGATGTGAATTGTGTATTGAACAATTGGGTTTACATTTCGAGCAACTACTTTAGATTTTGTATGTTTGTCCTATCTATCAATAGCATTTTAGTTGTAAATAATTAATTTAATTTGTTAAAAATAATATTGGAAAATTAAACAAATTAATATTCTGTTTTTTTGTGTTTATTTGGAGTTAGGAATTATTGCTGTGTTCAAAAACACAATCTAAACGATCATCTTAATTACTTGTAATGCCCAAATCGAAAATGTAAAAGAAAAATATTATTTTCCCATAAATAATTAAAAATGCATCAACCTTAAAAATCGAAATATCTCAAAAACGGCTAACTATAACGAAAACTCACAGGAGAGCTTTTTAAGCAGAAAAGTGCGAAGAATCAGTTTTTTTGTTCAAAAAGCAAAAAATTGCACTAAGAAAAAATTTCCAGTCATTTTAATACACTACAGGTACAGTAGAGAGCGCCGTCTAGCGTCTACAGTAAAACTATGCCCATGGTTCGTTTTGTCGTACCAAAAAACCCTTGTATACTAATTTTCACTGTTATACATCCAATATTGTTCGAAATATTTAAAAAAAACTGTTTTAGAAAGTAAATTTAAACACCCTGTATTTCGGAAGCCACGCATTTTTCGACCCATGTTTATATAGACTTTATCCATTAATTTTAAAAGTTCTATCGAATCTTAAAGTTATGCAACAATAAACTGAAACACCCTGTATAGTCAATGTTCTCACTTTATAAAGGTGTATCTAAATGTGCAATAAAGTATGGGGGATCATATTGGAAAAATTACTGATTTTGACATTTAAAATATAGTATAACATATTTTATTGTATATTCGAATATACCTTTTCCTGATTGGGTGTCAAGTTGAAACCGACTCAATGTACAAAAAAGCTCAACTTGGACAGCATGACAATTAGCTACTTCTAAGGTTGGTGGTTTTATACGATTATAGGTGTAGAGTACGGATGAGGAGCTTTGAAATGAGGTATCACAAAGCCCCCCATCCGTTTAAAAAAATGTTTCAAAATGACGGTAAATTATAGTATCCGTACATCAATTTCATTACTCTAAATTTCAGCTTCAGCTAACAAAAAATAAGCAGGGGAGGAAGGTTGAAAACCACTGCTCAATGATTCCGTTCTCAGCGACCTGAAGGATCCCAAATCCAGTTCTACGACGTAGACGAAATTTTACAGGATTGGGCAGAAACAGTATTAAAACAATACTGTTTTTGTCAAACGTGGTTAATTTTATTGGGATGAAACAAATTTTTGTTTTGATGAGTAGATTTCACAAAAATATTATTTTCCAGCCAACTAGATACTATACTACAACTATTTAAAACTGTAATGACTCATACGCGTGATCAACACGTGATCAGAGCTAGATCCCGGCTTCCTTCCAGTACAGCCGTATAGCGTACTACATATGTCGTTTCTGTGGCTTTGCGGTGGTCAACAGCACAGACAGAGATGGAAATAATGGCTGATTGTTCTCTGCCGGTAGAACCAATGAAATCAAAGACGCGCCTCGACGCAGACGTCGGCAATGCATTGGAACGTGTTTCGTTGAGCGATCGCATATTGTGTGTTTTTATAAGAATTGTTGTGTGATTGTTATTGTTGTGGTTTCCGTGGTTACTGTTTTGGTTATACTTAACCATGGAGAGTACAAATGGCACGAGTGGAAGTACTGAAAGCCAGGGAACAAGTAGACGGCTTCGTAAAGCACTGAAGAGGGACGCGAAAGAAATTGTGCTCAACGTGTTCAATTATCTGAACAGAACTATGTCGCAGGGAGATGCACTCGCACGTTGTGAAAGTATGACAGGCGTTCCAGAGTGGACCATTCGCAGGGTGGTGCATGAAAAGAAGAAAACTGGAGCTACTACTGATCCAAAGTTTAATTTGAAGGGACGAAAGGCCGTTAAATTGGATGACGATAGCAAAATGGCGTTAAGGCGAACCGTACATTCATTCTTCTTTAGGAATGAGATACCAACCCTCAAGGCTGTATATGCAGCGATCAAGGAAAATGAAATTATACCAAAAATGAGCGTCGAGGTAATGAGGAAATTCCTGCACGAAATTAATTTTCGTTACGAAACGCGTAATCGGAAGTCAGTATTGATAGAGAGACCTGAAATAGTCGCCTGGCGTCGAAAATACCTACGCGAAATGATTGAATATAGGCGACAAAGCAGAAAAATCTATTATTTGGACGAGACATGGGTAAATGCAGGTCACACAGTTAAAAAAACCTGGATAGACAAAAACGTAGTGAGTAACCGACAAGCAAGCATTGAAGTTTTGTCAACAGGTCTTCGTGGACCGTCAGGGAAAGGTCAAAGATTGATCGTAACTCATATTGGTAGCGATAGTGGCTTTTTAGAAGAGCGTGACTTGACTTTCGTCTCTAAGAAAGGAGGTGATTACCATGACGAAATGAATGCCAGCTGCTTCGAGAGCTGGTTTCAAGGGGTGCTTCAGCGAGTTGAGCCCAACTCTGCGATCGTCATGGATAATGCTTCCTACCATAGTCGTCGAGCCGAACGTGTGCCGACTATGGGATCTCGAAAAAGTGACATGCAGCAATGGTTGCGCGAAAAAGGAATCCTGTTTGACGATTCATGTGTGAAAGCGGAATTGTATGAAAAAATTAAACAGCACAAACCTGCGAACATTAGTTACGTGACTGATGAGATGGCCCGTCAATGTGGTGTCACTGTGCTGCGGTTACCGCCTTACCACTGTGAACTGAACCCAATAGAGCTCATCTGGGCTCAAGTGAAGGGTTATATTGCGCGCCATAACACAACCTTCCAATTACCAGACGTTAAGGTTTTACTTGAGACTTCCATACAGCTAGTAACGCCCGAAGCTTGGCAGAATGCTATCCGTCATTTTGTGAAGGAAGTAACAAAAATGTGACAGCTTGAAGACCACATCGACACCATCATAGAGCCAGTTATAGTCAATTTCAACGAGGAAAGCGATAGTGACAGTTTATTACTGTCAGATGTAAGTGGAAGCGACGATGAATAAAGGTAATTCCCAAATTTTTTACTTACAATATGTTTCAAACCACTCTTTATTAAGCATGTGACAAATCTAGTTCACCCATGTTAAACATTCATACCCCGTCTATCAACAGCCGACTACTGGTAGTTAAGTGATGTTCACGTGAACATCGATGAATCATTACAGTTTTAGATAGTTATAGTATAGGCACAGAAGTCTCAATTCCGCTGCATTAAGCAACGTCGTTAAAAAAATGTAAGGATAATTTTAGGTCATTCTGTATGACCATCTTTACCTACCTGTTGCCTTATCCTTTGGCTAATCTGATCACATTCAGTTTGAGCAAATCGTAACCGTTCCACGATAGTCTGCCTGGCTGATTCGTACTCCCTGATCACATTCTCCGTGGAACTCAAGTCTTTCGGATATCCACTCTTATCCAGATACTGATGATACGTCTCAGCCTTCTTGTCAATCTCATCCAGGTTCTTGAAGTACCCTATGAGCACTTGCAGTAAAATCTGATACTCCGAAGAAATTTCTATGAGCTTCTGGTTCAGATCGTACAGCTTGTTTTTAATATTCAGAGTCTTCTCGTCACTGGTTGGCGCTTTGAGCATCAAGGCTTCAGCGCTTTTGATCCTCTGATCGACTTCTGCTTGAGCTTTCTTGATGTCAGGTACAACCACGGAGAGTTTGTTCTCGATGTGTTCTACGATCTCACTGGGCTTTGTCGATGCGGTGGTTATCACAGGGTATAGTTGACTGTCCAGCTTGGTGACCCAGCTGATAGTCTGTAAATAAAGAGTAGGGATTCACTAGTTGACTCGATTTTCACTCTGCTTCACTCGACTTGATTTGAAATCAACCTAGATCTAGTCAGGCATTAGATATTATCAATGTAGATCAAGTCAAATGGTATTTACGTCAACGTCTTGAACATTCAAGTAGTCTTGATATTACTTGATAATTTTTGTAATACAAGTATCAGTAGATTGTAAATACACAACGGAAAGGCTTTGTGACAAGTTACAGAAAAAACTATACATATTGAACAAAATAATTTTTTCATCATATACCAAAAAAAAAAAATAACGATAAAACTGTAAACTCAAATAGACAAGAAGCATTTCTTCACCAGCTTATACGAATAAATGATAAATTCTAAATTGGCTTTTCAGTCGCTAACCACGAGATAAGACTCATCAGGGTCCTAACGAATATGTGGCTTAATCCGTTGCGTAGTTCCATAATGGCCATTGCAGCCCAAGATGATTCCCTTTCAAAAATCTATTGCCATTAAAATATGTGGGAATATATCTTCATACATTTCCCATGACTCGTGATTATTTGCATTAAAATAGAAAATCCGGTTCGTCGGTTGTACAAATAAATATCACTGAAGACCTTTAGTCGAAAAAAATGTACGACCTCAAGTCAAACAATCAAAAGATCAAGACAAGTGTCAACGTTTCAAGTAATTTTATTGTAGCGTAGTTTATGAAAAATCCCTAATAATGTGAGTCGAATGTAAACTGCATTTTAGGGTACATAAGCTACAGATTAGATAGTCTGAGAGTCAGACTCCGGTCAGTATGAATAATCCCCGGTAAAATCAAGTGTAGTCTACACGAAGAAATTTCAGTTCTGCCAAGGGCCAATTTCACCAACAACAGTCCGTTATTCTCCACCTATAGGGTAACAGACCGTCAAATACAACGAATGAGCTTCAAGTTAAAATCAACAAATTTTAGCAACCAATAGCTATGAAATGTTGAAAACAAAATACTGTCAAAGTATGAGATGACAGCTTGTCATTAAAACATCACTAGCTTATTGAATATTAAGAAATTACATATTCAGTCATAATTTAAAGAAATGTTGGATTTTTGAACAAAATTCATGTTTTAATTATTATTGTTGATTTTTTTATTCATGTTTATATTATTTTCTTCAATTGATATGCGATACTGGGTGTTTTTTCCTACAAAGCTCTTGCAGATAGCCATTAAGCACATTTGATGACAGGCTCTACCAAAAGATATTGCTCGTTTCCAAACATTCATTCATTTACTTGCCGTTCATCAGAACCATTATGGCACCTTAGATTGATATTCCCACAAAACCATTTAGGTTTTTTGATATCCGTACATCCATAAAGTTGAATATTTTTCGTTGTTCAGGAACTGAACAAACATCCACACTATATTCACAGCGATTAAGAAATTCCCAAATATATGCCTTAAAGCTACCAGCAAACCTAAAACCTGCAAAAAAACTACAAATTTTCCATATTTTTCTTTTCTCACGAGTACACATACTAGGCTATATTTATATTAGACATTATTTGAATACAGCTGATTATTGCATTTCAAGGAGTGACACATGTGTGGGATCTGTCAACTCTTGGTACCAGTCACAAAACATATACTCTGAAGGTTAAATTCCATGCTATTAAATGACAACACGGTGACTTGTGTGGTTGTCAGCGGCCATTTTGTGAGGGTGCGACAGGGTTGCCAGATTGTGCATTAATATCCCGTTTCACCCTCCTGGTCTCAGTGGAGTAAGTTCCGCCAACTGTTGAAATATACTCTACTATGCTTTATAAGACTATTCGTGACATTTTTCCCAAAATCATTGCACAACAGTTGAAAAAATGCAAATGAAAATTTAAAATTATTTCCATGACGCCGCAAAATAGCTCCGTCGGTACCTTGGGTTATACATCTTGACAGTAGGGATGTTCGATACGATCCTATATTTAGAAGTATCAATACATTTCACGAGTATCGTCATCTTTCGATCGGGACTGTGTCAGAAAGAGTGACTGCCATTTGGCTGCCAAATCAGACATATCTTTCATCATTTTCAAAGAACTTGTACAAAATCTTCAAATTTGTGAAGTTAGCGAGTTCCACTTCATACGTTGTTACCAGACATGCACAAATCATCAGTTGCTGCCGTGATATTTATTCCGACCACTGCATCCCCACGGCTAGGCGACTTGTATGTTAAATTTGTATTGATAGGGCAGCGGGTTATGCATAAATCATATGTCACAGTGTTTGTGCACTGATTGCAACGGTTAGATGATACCAAAAATATTTTCATAAATAGGAGATCTTTCCCATTCCGGATCGAACAATCTACCAAAGATGCTTATTTATAATCATGATACCTAGTAAATTTCCACGAAAAAATTCAAAACCAGCAAATGTAAAAGATTCATTTCGCACTCTCCACCACGGGACGTGATCGTCGTTAGACTTGGCAACCCTGCGAGTGACAGATAGATATCCTCGCCAGTCAAAAAGACAAACAATAAAAAATACTAGTTTTTATGATTTTTGGACGTAAAAGACATTATTTGTGAAAAATTTTTCATAATTTTTTGTCTATGTCCATAGTAATTGCATTATGCATCAGAGAGATGTAGGGATTGACACGTCTTACACACATTATCTGTGTTTTAGGATGGAGAGGTCATAATGTTTTTATTGCTTTGAAGAAATTCATTAACCCATAAATTAATAAATGATTACTATTATGACGTAAAGGAACATGAGGAATTGGATGGAATGTATTTTATATTCTATTTTCTTGCAAAATACACACAAATCCACACTATTCAACAGGTATGTAATGATAACTTTCAGTATATTGAAGTTGGTAAAAATTCAAGAGTCAAAAAAAAGTCCAAATCTGCTGCCAAATTTAACAGCTAGAAAATCGACCTATTATTTGCCGCATTCCCATTCGCTGAGGGGGATATCGGATTGTTAAATGCAAACCTATAACATATATCAAAATACATGAATGTTGTCCTGTTTTTTCTGTACAAAAGCATCATTTTGGGATCAAAACGTGGTCTTGTTTATAATACAGTCGAATTTTCACGATTTTATTCAATATTTCAATAGAAATCACTAATATTCAGAGAGCTTTGACAGATTCTGTCAAATTGCATTTCGATAAGGTATTTTCCCATTGGTCCATAATATTAATGTTGGTAAAATTGGGCCTAAGAGTATAATAACCAAGATGTTCTTGAAGTGTTCTTAATGTTGTGACGTTGCTCCTTAAGATACCCGATATATGAGTTTCCAAAAACATCTGTGTCCCACAAAGAATTGGGTCTAAAGATATGACGAGTTTCATCAAGCTGCTTGTTTTATTGTCGTTTATGGTGAGTGTCTTCATAACGATACTGGTGTTTCGCGAATGTTTTCAAATCGTTTTTCTAGAAGTTTGTCTGCGACATCAAATGCAGCCCTGCCTCCTACAAAAAAATTGGTGAAAAGGCACGAAGTTTGGCAGCAAGACAAAGCAACCGAGCTGTTTGTTTATACTCGCTAGACAAACATCTAGAGATACAGGTCATTTGCAGAAACGTTGGGATGGAACAAAGCAGATAGCTCCAAACGTTAACGTGTTAACGAATTTGTGTTTTTGAATCAACCGGTAAACTCAACCAGTGACAGGGCGGCATTTATTTATTTTTTTATTGCTTTTTACCTTTTCACCGCTGTTTCATCGCACAGAGGCTTTATTATTTGCCCGTAGTCGTCTCTAAAAAGTAAAATCCAAGCTCCCAGAACACCCTGTATTTTAAATTGGTCGAGCAAAAAGGAATTAACTACATAGGAACAACTGTAGCTCAATTGGTGAACCCCTTCTCATTTGTAATTCTTAAATTATTCAACTCGGAGTAATTAACTAGCCGTCCAGGCTATTTTTAGGATGCACATAAATAGAAAGAAATAAGGGAAAAAAGCTGAGCGTTTTCCTAATGGCAAACAGATTCTTAAGATTGCTCTTGTCAGGTCTTCTTTACAAGTGCAAGGACTTATGAAGAATGATTTAATTGGAATATAGAGGAAACGTTTATTATAGTAATTGACAGAAATCTCTGACGTATGTAGAAAAAGGTTCTGGAGAAAGCTGAGAAGGGGATTCAATGACTTATTTTTACTCAGTACTTCTTTGGCTACTCGTTTTTTCCTCGAACGTGCATTTCTCTAATTATTTTTGAATGTTTGTCAATGCAGACATTCACGTGTTCCAGTAAATCGAGTAATCGCTACACTTCCTTAATTTGTGGTAAAGGTATTACCTTTGAAATGTGCTGCGTAAGCAGATACCCTTCGCCGCTCTTTAATTTTGCCAGTCATGAGCACTCGCTTTTAGAAGCGCTGCTTAAGCTAAGAATCAATTTTTTAGAAAAAACTTTGAAACCACCCGTCTTTTTCTCAATTTTGCTTTGAAAATATTATTTTTCTACTGATTTGTATCTTCAAAACACTTCTGGCGTCCACTTTTCACGAGGGCTGTAATTTGTAGACAACCTGGGTCTGAAATATCATAAAAGGTATAGTGCAATCATAAAGAAAGTTCTACAAGTTCGATCTTTTGCACAAAAATTTGCCTAAAAAGCTAGTAAAAAAATCGCTGACACCAATCTGGTTTATAAATAAATGCTCCGACCAGACGTCGACAATACTACTTTTAATTTGCTGACCAGAAGTATTGCTGCCCATTTTTCAGTTACCAAAGAGACATGCCAGTTAAAACGCGCATACGATAACTAAATCACTGAATGATGATGCGTGTATGCCTGAATGCAACGCCATGCTGAGTTGTCACGTTGCTGGGTGGTCAGTACTGTCGGTAGTGCGGTAGGCAATGTTGTCAAATCTGTTGTAACTATGTATTATATGTGCGGTATCACCCTATTTGACTGACATGATCCACTAAATTCCTTTGCTATTTTGGAGATTCCAATATTTTGCAA